AATAAAATAAGAATTACTAAAGAAATGATAAACGAAAATGAAAAATAAATAATTAAAATAAACGAGATAGATAAAAAAAATAAATAAAAAGTAAATGAAAATAATGATAAATATATAAATAATAAAAACCAAACCAAAATAATAAATACATATATAAATAAAAAATAATGAATGATGATGATGAAAAAATAATAAATAAAGAAAAATAAATACTAATAAATGAAATAAAAATAAAAATAGAAATAAAATAATTTAAAAATAAAAAATGATAAGTATTAAAAAAATAAGAGAATAATAAGTAATAGAAAAATAACAAACGAAACCAAAAGTAACAAAATAAATAATAACAAAAAGTAAGAAATTAAATAATTAAAAAAAAAATAATGCAATGCGAAAGAAATGATATAAATAACAAAAAAATAAATAAAAAAAAGGAAAAAACTTACTTAAAAAATTAAAAAAAAAAAATTTAAATATAAAATAAAAAAAGCTAAAAATAATTTAAAAAATATTCGTGTATTAAAAGAAAAAAGTAAAAATGTCAAAAGGGACCTAAAATACCGTAATTGTGGTAATCAAATTAAATATATAAAGATGAAATAAAAAATACAAATAGGAAATAAAAATAAAGGATAATAATAATAGAAAAACAACTAATTACGCATAATTGTTGGAAAAATATAAAAGAAACAAAAAAGCCTCCGCATAACATATTTCAAATTTTATAAAAAAAAAAATGACCCCCAAAGCAGCAGGAGCACTCGAATTTGGAGCGCCCACACTCCTCTACATGTACATATATATGTACATATAATATATATATATACACATATATCTGCTACTGAACTCAATACTACCTCCAACTATCTTTCGCTCTCACTAAAATATATTCTCTCATGCCTTGTACATTTTGAACTCATGTCCTTTAATTTATTTTCCGTAGTTTTGCTATACCTATATTCGCCATTTTTCGCTTCTATTGTAGTTCCGCAACAACAAGGTATTCTGGCACGTCTGTATTGTTGGTTGTTGTGACTGCTGTTGACGATGAGCGTGCTGCGCTGAGAATACGAAGTATTTTGAGCTCAAATGTGCATATGAGTTGGTAAACTGAGTTAAATGCCTCTTGCTCTTTTTAATCTTTATTCTCTACTTGCACACTTTCGTCAGAGCATTTTCTACTCATCGTTGATACATAAATACATAATTATATTGCATTCACTGTTGTTGTTGTAAGTTCACTAATGTTGCTGTTTTATAGCTTGGCAATCTGGTCTGGTCGGTTGGGTGGTGGTACAGTTTTATTAGTGTACTATAGAAATGTATGTGTTTGTGTATGTTTGTATGCTGCCATCGCATCCTTTTATAATTGTATCTGTATAATTTGCATTTTGCCTGCATTTGAATGAGTGTGTGTATGCGTAAATAGCCTGCAATCCTATTTCATGTCTCATCATCTCAACGCAAAGGATATTCTCGAATACATACAAATGCATGTATGAAGGTACCATTATGTACTTCATACGTACATATGCATAGGTAAACATTTATTTATATACATATATGTATTGGTACGTTAATATACATATATGTATTGGTACGTTAATATACATATATGTATACATGTCACTCCTTCTTTGATCAATTTTTAATGTAAAGAAAATTATGCAAATTTTATAACTGTGAAGTGAAGTTTGTTTGTACAGTAGCTGTAGGTGGTAATGAGATGAAATTGTATACGCTTAAAATTTTAAGCGTATATAGCTAGTTTTCAGAGTTAACATGCATATTTTGAATCCTCGAAATTTTTCGAACATATAAAATTGTCTAAGATTATTTGAAATTTTTGCAAAACGTATAAAGTTTCAAAAAATTGAAGTTTCGAATCTTCGAAAATTTTCGAACATGTGTTTGATATCGCCAATATTAATACATATCGACTGCTTGTCATTGATCTATGTTTTGGGAGCTACCTTCGAATAGAAAATATCAAATTTGACTTTATGCATTAATAATAAGTTAGTAATTGGCATACATTTTTTTAAAAAGAAAAAAAATTTCGAACTTTCAAATTATTATTTGTGTCTTCTAAATACAAAATTAACGTCCAAAGTTTCGTTTTTATGCAAAATTTTAAGTTCGAAAAATTTCGAACATACTCAAATGTTTCCAAAATTTGCAAGAGTTCTTCAAATTAAATTCTCGATCTATTCTTTAACCAAATTTCAGTTTGCTTGCGTCAATTATTTTCACACTGCCAATTTTCAATAATTTTTATATTTTCCCAATTACCAATTAAGCAAATCTAACAAAAACTAAACTTCATCAATTCATTAGAAGAGTAAAAAAATCTCAAACAGCGCTTTACGTAGCTGATTGATTGCACGTCTATTGTACATACATATGTATTTGCTGAATAAAAAAAAAAACCAACAACAATCAATTAACAAAAATTTGCGCTTGCATTTCTTGCTTCAATAACTGGGCGTTGAGTGTATTCATAGCTTCATGCCAGCTGACTGATTTTTCAATGATCGCACCAGTTGTTAGTTATCTTGCTCTGAAGAGCGGCTAAGGAATACCTGGCCTCGGCTCTATTGGACGACGATAAAGGCAGTCGAGCCAAAAACAAACACACTAGGGCAACTTAGGCAGGCAGCCAATTTGAAAAATTCAATATACTTTCCGAATGTAGTCTCTACTTTACCGTATGACGCCTTGTAGTGCACATACAATTACCGTTGAATTTACAACAGCAACAACAACAGCAGCAGCAGCAATGAGAACGAGCGCAAGCCGAGCCTAATATGTACACCGGTGTTGTTTCTCCCTTCTTTTCTTCTTTTATTCGAATTCATTGGGTGTACAAGAACAACTGGCTGCTCGTTGGCTTGGCAAGGTATGACAGGCAAGTATGGCTATTAAACGACAGCTTGCAGCTGCTGTTATTGTTGTGCCGAATTTTATTGTTGTTGTCGCTGTATTTTTTTTTTTCGGTTGTCGAAATACTGTTTGTGTGTATGTGTGTGTGTGATTAGAATGAACAAAAACAGCGCGCCGCGTATTTTGTCTCAAGTGGTGCCCTCATTTTTGTGTTTTTGTATGGCTGGATATGTGTGCGTGTGTGGGTTTTCTTTATAGAAACTGTGTGTAATCCTGGGCTTTGTTGTTTTTTTTTGGTGCTATTCATATATGTATGTAGCTGCTTTTCCAGCTTGCTTTTAAGTATTCATCAATGTATGTACATTTGTATGTACTGTAGGTAAATAAGCCATACACTTGATGAGGGGTTTTTCCCTATTTTCGAACATTGCACGGCCTGCAATTTGAGTGAAATTTTGTTGTTGTTGTTGCTATTTTCATATTAGTTTACTTTATTTCATTTTATTTTATTTTATTTTATATTAGTTTACTTTATTTCTTTTTTATTCAAGTTAAATTTTATTTTATTGGATAGTGATTTTATATTTGTTCTACTTATTTAATTTAATTTTATTTTAATTTTATTTATATTCTTTTTACTTATTTTATTATTATTTTTACTACTTTTTTCTTTTAAGTTTATTTTACATTTTTCTTGTCTTCAGTTTGCTTCATTTCGCTTTATTTATTTTTTAATATTATTGTTATATCTAATTTAATTATTTAATTAGTTTTAATAATGGATTTTTTATATTTTTTTAATTTAAATTATTTTAATTAATTAATTTTTATTTTTTTATTTAAATTTTTATCTATTTTGTTTTCATTTTATTTTATTTTTCTTTATATTATTTTGATTTTGTTTCATTTTAATATGGTTTATTTCTTTAAATCTTTTTACTCTACTTATTTTCCTTGCATTTAATTTTACTTTATCTCAAATTTATTTTATATTTATTTATTTTTCATTTTTCTTCATTTTATTTTAATTTATTTTATTTCATTTTCATTTTATATCATTTCATTTTTATATTTAATTTAATATATGTTCATTTCCATTAAATAAGTTTGTTTTATTTTAATTTAATTATTTTATTTTAATTTTGTGTTACATAATTTAATTTTATTTTTAATTTTTTTTTTAATAGTGACTTACTTATTTTTAAAATTATTTTAAAATTAATTAATTTTTTTTTACTATGCTTTATGTTTATTTTTATTTTATTTTATTTTTTATATATTTCATTTTCTTATGATTTAGTTCATTTGTATTTTTTTTAATTTTATTTAAACTAATTTAATATTTATTTTATTTTGTTGAAATTTTTTTTATATTACAGAACTTTTATAATAGTTTAATATACATATATTTATTCCCTTTATATAATTTTGTTTTATTTTAATTAATATATTTTATTTTTATTTTGTGTCATTTTACTTCTTTATTTTACCTTAATTCAAAGTTTTTCATTTAATTTATTTATATTTAAAAAAAAAATATTTTCTTTTGTTTTTTTATTTTTAAATTTTTTTCTTTTAACTTGGTTACCTTGTTTTCTTGTATCTATTTAATTTTTATTTTACTTTTACTAGCTGTATTTTTTATTATTTATTTTACCTTACTACATTTTATTAAATTTTTATTTAATTTTTTGTTTTACATTTTTCACTTTATCTTATTTTTAAAAAAATTTATTTTATATTATTTTAATATTTATTTTATTTTCATTTTCGTAATATTTTATTTTTCTATTGTTTAAATTTTCTTTATTATTTTTGTATATTTTCTATGTTTTCTAAGATTATTTTATAAATAGGTACTATACATTCATACATACATATATGTATATGTTTAAACACATACATACATATACACATTTTTGTTCTACAATATATCATATAAACACTTTATTGGCTTCATTCACAAAAATTCCATCTTATTTACTTAAAAAATATTTTTTACAACTTTTAAACGCGAATACGAACAAACGGTGTAAAAACGTTGAAAAAGGTTTTGAAAATTTCATTTTCGCCATGCCTTTTTTCTACATCTTTTTCTTACCATTATTCTTTTACAGCAAATAAAATCGAAAAATATAAAAATTACCATTGTTACTGCGGTTGTAAAAAACACTCGGTGTCACTGAGTGTATGTGAGTGTGTGTGTATTTTGTGTAAGAAAAAGATTTACACTAAAAAAGTAAATAAAACAAAAACAAAAAAAACACTCCACAAAATGTCCAGCACAGATGTGCCCCGTATTATGGTCTTTCGACCAACTTGGGAAGAATTTAAAAATTTTCCCAAATACGTAGCCTTCATGGAATCTCAAGGCGCACACAAAGCCGGTTTGGCCAAAGTTGTGCCACCACCTGAATGGGTGCCACGTCGCAGTGGCTACGAGGATTTAGATGCTTTGAAAATAACAATACCGGCGCCAATTTGTCAAGTCGTCACGGGTAAACAGGGTCTCTATCAGCAAATCAACATACAAAAGAAACCGCTCACGGTAAGGCAATTCAGTGAGTTGGCGTCAACGGAGCGCTATCAGACGCCCAAACATTTCGACTATGAAGATCTCGAGCGTAAATATTGGAAGAATATCACTTACGTGGCGCCGATTTATGGCGCTGACGTTAGTGGCAGCATTACAGATCCAGATCAGGATGTAAGTATTTTCTAGAATGAGAACAAAAAAAAATGTAAATAATTCAACACCACTTTAACCTTACCTCTAAAGAGTTGGAATATCAATCGCCTCGGTACAATACTCGATTTTGTTAACGAAGATTATGGCATACAAATTGATGGTGTGAATACAGCGTATTTGTATTTTGGCATGTGGAAGACCACATTCGCTTGGCACACCGAAGACATGGATCTCTATTCGATAAATTATTTACATTTTGGTGCACCGAAAACCTGGTACGTTGTACCGCCCGAACATGGACGTAAACTGGAGAAGGTCGCAAATCAATATTTTCCGGCGAGTTATCAAAATTGTAATGCATATTTGCGTCACAAAATGACGCTGATAAGTCCGCAAGTATTAAAGCAACATGATGTACCAGTGAGTAAAGTAAGTATCGAGTGGATTTTAAATCGTTTTGATTTGAATTGTCGTATAACTGGAGTGTTAGAAAAATTTATCGAAAAGTTATTAAAAATAGGCTACTAATGTATATTTTGAACAGGATTTTGAAACGATGAATATTTTCGAAAATGTTTATTTTTTAATTTAAGCTATCTTCGAAAAAAAATAATTAAATACAATATAGGCCAAATATTTTCTTATTAGATAACTAAAAATATTTTCAAGGAATTTCGAAAATATCTAATTCTTGCACATTGAAAAACTCTTAATTTTTTGCGAGAAAAATCATGAATAATTTTTATTACCTAGATATTTTTAAATATTTCGAAAAATTTGAAATTTCGAAAACCTTAATATCTTTCAAAAAATCATCAATCATGAGCAATTATTATGTATATTAGTACGCAGTTTTTTCCAATTTTGATTTAAATTTTGAATTGTCGTACATTCAAAAATCTTTCAATAATTTTGAATTTTCGAAAATTAGAAAATCCCAATAGTTTTGCAAAAAATTATCAATCAATAATAATAATGTATGTAAATACGTAATTTTATGAATATTTTTTTTTTTTAATTTCGAACATTCGAAAATCTCAATATTTTTGCTAAAAGTCACCAGTTATGAATAATTATTATTTATTTAAATACGTAAAAGTTTCGAAACACATATCGAATATTCGAAAATCCTATTTTTACAAAATGGTCATCGATCATTCAAAATAACAAATTTATATGCGAAATATTTGAAATTTTTTAAAATCAGACTACTACTTCGTATATTTTCCACTGTCAATTTAGCTAGAAAACTATTTTGAAGCAGTGGCTAGTTTCGAAATTGTTTCATTTTTCTTTTTTGTTTAATTTGATGCTAATAATGCTTCACTCATCTCTTGGAATATCATATATGAATGAAGTAAAATTCCTAATACTTCAATAGTTCTGCTATTGACATAATATATGTTATATGTGGACATTTCGAATTTTCGAACTTACGAATATATTTCGAATTTTCGAAGACCTGAAAATATTTGAACATAAGAAAATATTTCGAGCATTCGGAAATATTTTGATTTTTCTAAAATTCGAAAATATCTTGAAACTTCGAAAATATTAGTAGTTTTGAGAAAAAAAAACTGAAGTTTAAAAATATATCTATAGTTTAAAACAAAAAAAGAATTTAATTAAATAAAATATTTATACGCTCCAGTTATACCGTCCGTTTTAATCAAATATTCTACCTATGCAACTCCTTCCTAAACAACTCCACTCCTCCACAGATAACACAAGAGGCTGGCGAAATAATGATTACATTTCCGTTTGGCTACCATGCCGGTTTCAATCATGGCTTCAACTGCGCCGAATCCACAAATTTTGCCATGGAACGGTGGATTGAATATGGAAAACGTGCCGTTCAATGTACCTGCAGGTAAGCCAACTCCTTTTTACAATAATTTTTTTTTTAATTCATATGATTTTTTTTTTACTTAGCAACGACATGGTCAAGATCTCCATGGACACTTTCGTAAAACGCTTCCAACCCGATCGCTATCAGGCGTGGCTGGAGGGCAACGATGTGGGCCGACATCCAGAAGATCCGCCCAGCGCTGTAGCCGCTGCACCATTACCCTCACATTTAGATGTGATATGCAACAAGAAGTAAGTATGCCATGCTTGTCAAGCAGCAAACCTTTTTTGCTTGTGCATTCATATTTTCTTATTCGTGCTTACTAACATGCGCTTCTTTTTTCCAACACCAATCACTGCCAACTGCGGCCCTTAGTCATGGGGCTGACAATGTACCAATGCACGTATTACAAAGAATGAAGAAACAATGCAATCCAACAAAGAAGAAATCATTTAAGGAGCGTAATCCCGATTTAAATTTAGAGGAGATCCAACAAAATCCCAATATACCGGACGAGGTTAAGGCTGTGCTGAAAGAGAGTGTGTTAACGCTCGATGCGGATGATGAAGAGCCGGCCATTATTGGCGATGGTGAGGCACCTTTGTTGATGAGTCAATTAAGTCCAGCCGAATTGAAGACTAAAAAGGAGCTATTGGACTATATCGATGATGGCACAGGTGTGTGGCCGCTCGCTCGTCATTTTACATTTTAAGCTAAGAATTTATTGATTCATTTACCTTTCTTACTTAGATGAAGACGAGGAGGAGGAATTCCGCAAACGACGTCATAAGCGTAAACATCATTCCGACTATGATGATGATTGGTTTACCAGCAAAAGACGTACAAATTCACGACAAAGCAGCAAAGCTCGTAGTCCGCGTAATAGCAATAAAGATGATCGCTCTATATCACCAGCATCGTCATCATCCTCATCTTCACGTGCACGTCGTCAACCGTGCACAACGCCGGGCAAAACACCACGTAAAACGCCAAATCGTAGAAAGAAAGATCCTAACGCCGTAAAAACACCAAATGCACAAAGTGCAAAGAAAGCGTTGACATCATCAACGACAGTAACAACGGAGGCGGTGACAAATGTATTAAAGACTGCTGCTGCGCTAACGCAAGCGCTGGGCAAGAATGATGAATGTAATAATGATAATGCCAATGAGGAAAATATGAATGCCGTCAGTATTTTGAGTCCACCAACACCGCCATCGGAAGTTGATATGACGTCACCAGCACCAACAGGCGGTGTAGCTGTTACCGTGTCAGCTGTAGCTGCTGCCGATGATGCGGCGGCGGGAGGTGAGACAATTAGCGAAATAAAGGAGCATTCACTATTTATCTCACCCGCAAATGGCTACAACAGCAAATGAATAAAATCCTATACATATATATATATATATAATATATATATATATATATATATATTAACATAATTAGCCCATAGAAATCACAAATCATCATCCTTTTTGTTATTAACAACTTATTTTATATATGTAATTACATACATATGTATATGCATACATACATAAATAGCATCACATTGCGCAAAGCTCCCTCCAATTTACTTCGGTTATTAGTTTCTCACACTAATATACTTACATGCTATTATATTAATTTATATTTATTAATATTTATTTTAACATTTTTTTTTTCGAATACCTTACATACTCTCATATTTGCTTATAAGACTTTAATATTTGCATATGCTTTTAAACGTTTGCGTTTACGCATGCGCAAATATTTTATATTATTTTATTTTTTTTTTTTTTTTGTATAAAAAAGAAATATCTCATTTAATTTAATTTCTTTTAACATTCGCTGCTCATTCATTGTACTTTGATTAATCTTCCATACAATCATTTATGTTTTATACATACATACATATATAATTTTTAAAATGCTTTAGACAATTCTTTTTATATCATTTTATTTAGTAATTTCTATTTATGTAGGCTGTAAATATACACACATACAAACAGTACGCATACCATACGTGTTGAGAGTACAAGCGTAAATATATAAAATTAAAAAACGACAAATATTTAAATGAAATGCCATTCTATTAAACTAATTGTAAACGATGCTAGTTCCAAAGTAACTTCACTTTCTTATTGAAACAGATGAGGAAGTGGAAGTAGAAAGAAGTAAACAAAAAATTAAAATTTATCGTAACTATTACGCAAACCATTTAACTATGTCCCTTTTCTGTTTGTTTAGTCTCTGCTCGTATTGATTTTGTTTTCTGTGGGACTGAGTCTTTATATTGTTTCTTTTTTTTTTTTACATTTTTCGTACAATTTGATTTTCTCTTCGTCAATTTTACACGTTTTCTTTTCCTTTTTTGAATCCTAACTTTTAAGCGATATATTTAGTAATACACAATGTAAAATGTTTATTTGTATTAGCTCTGCAATTTAGCGCGCGCAATGTACATGCTGCGTTCATTTGTGGTATTCATTTTTATGATTTGAATGTTTGATCATGTCAAATTCCTGATTTACTGTTCCAATATATGCTATCTTGGAGGAAAATATACTACTTTTTTAGTGTAAGCGAAAACTGTGTTGTTTGATCTTTTCTTCTGTCTCTTGTTTGTTTGTGCGGCCGGCCTTTGAAAAAAATTGGCAAAAAATTTTTATTGACGGAGATTTTCTTTGTAAATTTCGGACAAAATTCGGTTGTGTTCCACTACGTTGTAGGTCTTCTTGTAAGTGTGGTTTTGTAGATACGTTGGCCTCGAGCTGGAAATTCAACAGGAAATGTAGATTGCTGCTAGAGTTTGATTGGTATGAGATTCGAAACTTTGGGAAGTTTTTGATGTATACATATTGCTAATTGCTTTTGTGGAATCGTGGCTTATGAGGAATATTTAAGGTTTTTTTTAGCAATAAAAGCAGCTGAAGTTTTTTATTGCTATTGTATGTTTGGAAGGAAAACAAAAACATTTTTTAAGGAAATTCTCTTTAGCTGTAGAATGCTTAGTAGAAAAGCAGCAAATCAATATACTCCGCTTTCTATGAACTGATTTATTGTGACTTATTGTTTATTGCGAATAATCACTTTCCCTTCGTTGCTTGTATTTAATGTCTACACCTGTTTGGCAGCCCCAACCCACCCCAATACCGCACCTAATCACTTTTCTCCACCACGATTAACACATCACTCACATCCTAACTGCTACCTCGCATCAACAAATTGTGTTTTCTTCACTTGTCCACCACTTTGTGAGCGTGTATCTAACAAAAAAGAAATAAAAAATTATATATACATATATAAAAAAATAAAACTATAAAAATATGAAAAAATTATATAATATATTAATTAAAATTAAAATATAATAAAAAATATATAAAAAAATAACAAATTAAAAATATAAAAAAATTTAAAAATTTATTAATTAAAAAAAATTAAAAGATAATTAATAAAGTATTAATTTAAAAATATAATATGAAAATATATATAAAAAAGTAAGAAAAGCTAAACAAAAATAAAAAAATATAAATATATTAACAATACAGAAAAATAAAATTTAAAAAGAATTTTGTGGCAATATCGAAAATAATTAAAAAAATATATAAAATAAATAAAAGCATAGGAAATAAAAATATAATTATAAAATAATTTTATGAAAAGTAAATGAAACAAAAACTTATCGAAAAATAAGTAAAACAGAAAAAAATAATAAAATAAAAATATAAAAAATAAATAAAATAATTATATAAAAATTTATAAAACAAATATATAAAAAATAAATAAAACAAATATATAAAAAATAAATAAAATAAAAAATATAAATATATATATAAATATATATGTAAACAAAGGTAAAATAAAAGTATAAAAAATAAGACAAAGAAAATAAATTCTATAAAAAATTAATTAAAAAATAAATAAATTAATAAAAAAATAAATAAAATAATAAAAAAATAAATAAAATAATAAAAAAATAAATAAAATAATAAAAAAATAAATAAAATATAAAAAAAAAATAAATAAAATAATAAAAAAATAAATAAAATAAAAAAAAATAAATATATATAAAAAAATAATAAAAAAAATAATAAAAAAAAAAATAATAAAAAAAAATAATAAAAAAAAGTAATAAAAAAAATAATAATAAAATAAATAAAATAATGAAAAATAAGACATATATCAAAAATAAAATATATAAAAAATAAAATGAAAAAATAAGAAATATAAAAAATAAAATATATAGAACACAAGAAATAAAATAAAGAAATAAAACATAAAACAACAAAAAATAAAAAGGATAAAGAAGATTAAAAGTAAAAATAAATAAGAAATAAAATAAATAATGAAAATAAGTGAGAAAGAAAAAAAATATATCAAAAATGAATAAAATCAAAAAATAAATAAAATAAAAAATAAGTAAATAAATTAAAAAAATAAATAAAGTAAAAAAAAAAGAAATAAAATAAAAAAATAAAAATTAAATAAAATAAAAAAGAAATAAAAAAAAAAAATAGTAAAAACATAAATTTAAGAATAAATTAATTAAATTATATAAAAAAGGCAAATATAAAAAATAAATTACTCAAATAAAAGTAAAAAAAATTATCTAATAAAAATACAAAAATTATCAATCTAATGATCTAATAAATAAATAAAATAAAATTACAAAGAAAAAGTAAATCAGTTAAATTGAAATATGAAAAGTGTATTAAATAAAATAGCTAGTTAATTAAAAAATATATATATATAATATAAAAAGCAGATGAAATGAAATCATAAAAAATTCATTTATTACTCTAATGAAACCATAAAAAACACATTAATTAAATAAAAATAAATAAATAAAATAATATAAAAAAAATTTATTAATGAAATAAAAATTAATTATAGAAATATGAAAACATGCAATAAAAATTAGAAAAAAAATGATAAAATAATTAACATAAAAATAATAATAAAAAACAATTGAAATATCAATAAAAATCAATTGAAATATTAATAACAAACAATTAACATTAAAATTTAAAATATAAAATAAAAATATGAAGATAAAACTTTTGAAAATGAATACATAAAATAAATTAAAATCTAAAATCGTAATACGAAATTAACAAATCAACAAAAACTTTGTACATTTTTCATTATCTACTATACATCACATGTACAAAAATCAAAAAATACAAAAAAAAAGAGAATATCAAAAAAATCAATTTCTTGTACAAAATTTTACAAGTAACCAAAAAAAAAAAAAAACAAAGCGAATTTGTAAAAACTTGTACAAAGTAAAAAAAATATCAGCTTCAAAATGTGAGTCTTCATGACTTTATTTATTCGATTGTCATAATTTATTGCATATTTTTCAACATTTTATAGGCAGTTTCACGACAGCAACAAAAATAACAACAAAATTCCAAACTATAACCGCCGTACACGCGCCAGTCATACAAGTGGCGCCTAAATTCAACGCACCAATACCCACCAACAACAACAACGATCTCCTCCTACCCAGCATACCGCCCGCGTTGCAATTTATGCAACAAACACGCAAATTTGAAGGTAAAATACCACGTATTAGTCATCAGCTACAGCAGCAGCAACAACATCAACAAGCGAATTTACAACGCTCCAATTTAATCATAATGCCTGCAACATCGAATGTTGTTAACGTCTCATCAGCAGCTGTTGCTGTCAATAACAGCAACAACAACACAAACAGTAGCAGCACTTCTAGTCAGCAGCAGCAGCAACAGCTGGAACAAGAGCAACAACAACAGCAACAAACAATTGTTTATACCACAATGTTGCCAGCGGCAAGCACACTCAGTGGCATCGCTCAACAACATCAGCAGCAGCAACAACAAACACAATATATTACAATACCCGCTTCATCGGCGTCTGGTGTGGCCAATACCACAGATGGCACGGTTTATCAATTGCAAAGTGAAATTGTTTGCGATGCGGCGACATATCAACAGCATCAGCAGCAGCAGCAACAACAACAACAACAACGTCAGCAACAACAGTTGACCTCTCAAAGTATTAATGGCAATACGATTGCTGTGACCTCAGCAGCTGCAGCGCAAGGTAGGTGTCTGATCTCTGGCCACAGCGCACGTCTCCTCAAGTGTGTTGTAAATTCGATTTGTTGTAACTAATGAGTGTAGACGTACATATTGTATATATGTGTAGAGTAGATTGGTTTTGATTTCGAATATTTAGATAATAAATTTCATTTTTATATTTATTGTTTTTTTTACCTTTTTGTACATTTTGTATATTTTGCTTTGAATAACATATCTTTTGTATTTTCATTTACGTTTGGCATTTCTTACGTACTAATCAAATAATTTTCACAATTTGTAACCATGAGGCCTTTGGTTTTTACAAAAAAAAAGAAACTAATAATAATTAATGCTTAAAATTTGTGAAATACTACATTTGGAAAATTGAAATTAAAAGAAAAAAAATTTAAAAAAAATAATAAGTAGTAAAACCCGTTTTTTTTATAAAACAAATTCTACAAAAATTATTAAATGATTTTTTGTTAAACATAAAATAAAAAAATAAAAAAATTAATTAAATCAAATTACTGTCAAATAAAGAAAACAAAAAGTTGATCGAAGTTTCTATAAATCAATAAAAAATATTAATTAAAAAATTCCCTTAAATTTTAAATAATTGATTTAGTTCACTTAAAAACATTTAAAGAAAAAATGACAATGCCAAAAGCAGCTGGAAAAATATTGCTAAAAAAATTGAATATGAAAATGTTCCCATTAATAAAAATGTTGCTTAAAAAATGAATGAAACAGAATCAAAAATCAGTTAAACATATTATGGGAAATAAATAGAAATAAATAAGAATTAATCAAAATTACTGTTAAATAAATAAATTACAAAGATTAATGAAAATGCTTGCTTAAAAAAAAAAATTGGTAAAATATATTGCAAAAGAAGAGAAATTAAAAAAATAAAAATTGAAAAACATTTGCGCCTTAAATAAATTTATAAAAATTAATTATTAAAAAGTACTAAAAATAATTAAAAAAAAAATCTTAACAATGTCTTAAAAAAATACTGTTAAAGTTAAAAAATTAATGAAACAGGAAGTAAAAATAAAATAAAAAATTTAATTATACAGTAAAAATTTAACTATACTATGTAAAAAATTAACACTACTGCAAAAAATATTTAAGAAATTAATGAAATCATCCTTAAAAAAAACAAAAAAAATTAATTAAACAAAAAATTTCGCTACAAAAAATTAATGAAAATATCGTATGAAAATTTTTTGCTAACTAAAAAAATTAAACAAAAAAAAAGATTGGAAAGCGAAATACCAAACGCCTCATATTTACATTTTACTAATTAATATTTTCTAAACAGAAATATTCGTCGTTTCTTCATTTTTATGTTTTTAATCTTTGTTTATTTTTGTTTGTATCATATATTTTATACATAAGTCCATTTAACGAAATTTATAACCAAACTTTTTTTTAACAATAATCATACTACGCTGCAAATTATCAATCGTCAATTGAATTTCACCCTGCTGCTGTGTTTATTTATTTTCTATTTATTTTTATTAAATGTTACTAAACTCACGTTTCACTTAATACTAATGTGCAATTTTTTTTTTTAATAATTCATAGAAATGAAAATTAATAGAAATTACTTAGATCAAAAATTGAGTTTTGGTTTAAAAAATAAAATACAAATTTTTTTGATGTCCCAAGACCAACCTTTTAGTAGTCAAAATGTAGTTAACTTAAAATAAATTAAAAAAAAAATATTTTTTATTTTTTAAATAAAATTGGATTTTAAGCGTTTACTAAACAAAGGATTTTAAAATTATTTTAAAATAATTTGCAATTTTATTTATGCAAAGGACAACAACAAAATTATTTCTTGAATTATTACTTAAATTGAAGTCAAATCAAGCGTTTTTTACTCACAAAATCTTTTCTCTATAAATATAATTTGCTCAAATAAAATTGTCAATAAAATATTTCTCATATTTTTTCTCCCTTTTGTGATTTTATAAAATATAACTTATTTATTTTCTTTACAAAAAAAAAATTAAATAAAAATTCAAAAGTAAAGCTTTAGTCCGACAGCTGATTATTGCCCGAAACTCGTAAGTTTTTTTTATATAAAAATATTGCAAACAATTTTTTATAGTTAACACAAAATCACTGCCACAACTAATATAAACGCCTTTAATAACTCAATTCCCAATACATTACTTTTTCGATTCGCATACTTAAATATTCCAAAATGAGGGTCTTAAGACTTCTAAATGATTGATTATATTTTTTTTTTTGAATATTTTAAGTGAAAATTAAAAAAAGAATTTCAAAAAAAAAAAAACTCCTAAATGTACGGCAAACAATTCGTTTAACCTACTTTTAGGCGCGTATTTTCATATGTATTTTAAAACTATACAAATCACTGTTTTCAATTTAATTTTTAACTTTGAAACTAAGAAAAAACACTAAGCAGCAACTGACAGCAGAAATACAAGAAAAAATGGACATTTATATGTATTATTTTTAATCAGTATTAAATTATTATATTTCCTTTTGATTTTTTGTTAAAAATAAGTTACTGAAATAATCTCTTCTTTTAGTTTTAGTTCTAGTTGTTTAATTATTAATTAAATATTCTGCTTGATTTTAAGTAATTTTTGTTAAACTTATTTAGTCTCGTCTAAATACCTTTTAAGTAGTTTTGAAATTGCCAAACGTTTTTTAAAATTCTATTTACTATTTCTCAGTACTTTTTCTTTTAAAATTTCAATGCAACAAAAGCAACTTGTAGGCGACGCGATATGAATTTTATTTGGGAAGCAAGAAGAAGATAATGAGAGAAAATTCAGTTTTTCCCAATGAAGAAAACTCATTTTTGGAGTCCAAATATAGGAAAACCATGAATTACAAGCAAGCGTAGAGGCGAGTTGGTTATCTACATAGCAAGAAAACTAAATTTGAAATATTTATTTATTTACGAAATTATTTTCAAAGCTATTTTTTTTTCTACCAAAATATAACTGGGTATTTTTTTTTTTTTTTTGAATATCTACCTCAGTTTGACCAAATAAGTTATAGAAAATCGATCATAAATAAAGAAATCGATTATAAAGAGAAATTATTAAAAATTTATCGATATATTAAAATCGGGTTTCGAGCTCATAAATCGGTATTTTTGATTTCAGAAATAACAAACGTTTTTTTCGTTTCCAAAAACTTTATTTTCGAGTCCATAAACGATATTTTCGAATTCAAAAATCACAAACGCCGTTCTCAAATTTAAAAATGTTGCTTTCAACAACAAAAGTGTTGTTATTTTAGAATTCAAAAAAGGTTTCCTGCATATCATTGCACATTGCTTTCGACTTTAAAAACGTTATTTTCAGTTTTAAAAATTACAAACACTGTTTTCCAATTCAAAAACGTTATTTTGGAGTTCGAAATGATGTTTTCGAATACAAAAGCGTTGTTTTCGAGTTAATAAAAACTGTTTTCAAATTGAAAATAGTTATTTTCGAATTCAAAATCGTTTCTTCCGAATTCAAAAATGCTGTTTTCGAAACAGTATAACTACATGTAAGTTGCAATTGAAATTTCCGTTTATATCTTTTTCTTGCTCTAAACGTTTAGTTACTTTTTAATTTTTAATTTCTTTTGATAACTCTAGTATAAATATTCTCTTGCACCAAAAAAAAAATAATCATTTTGGTAATTATAAATTTGAACGCATTGATAATTATTATAATTCTTTAGATTTTCGTTAAAAAGTATTTTTTTTTTCATTATTTCTATTATTTATTTACATATGTATTTTCTGTTGTTGTTGTTTGAAAACCAACAAAAATACAAACAAAAATCCCAAAAACTGCAAACGAAAAAGCTTATTTACATTTATACACATTTGAAACCAATTTTTAAAAATTAAGACAATGTGGTCACCACTATTAGTTCGTCCCCCATACTGCTCACGTCCACCACCGCCGCCGCCGCCGCCTCTCACAATCAACACCACCTTCAACAACAACAACAACAACACCACAACTCTTCTGCCTCCGCCACATCCACGTACACCACGACAACAACCACTGCCCAACCGCTGCACACGATCAAAGCCGAAATTGACGAAGACAACACAAAACATATAATCGTGAATGGTGATGGCACCACGACCACACTGCAGACACAACCGCAACCACAGTATCACTACATCACCACCACCGGTGAAGATGGACAAACACCGACAACGATCGTCTTTGAGAACTATAATGGTGAGGTCACCGAAATGAATGGCGGTGGCGCCACGACGATCATCAAGTTCGAGGGTGATGACAATGACTACCAGGAGTTTCAGGTTATTAAGCATGAGGAGGACAATTCGAATGGCAACAACACATTAGATGCCCAACAACAACAACAACAATTGCAACAACAGCAGCAGCAGCAGCAGCAACAACAACAACAATATACATATAAGACGATAACGAAACAGGATGAAGAAATGAATCAAACCGTCACCGACACGATTATGGTGCCCGCCAATGGCGTACCGGCGATACCGCCACAAAAGCAGAAGCGCAAGCGAAAAACACGCTTAATATCGCCCGATGAACAGGGCGAGTATTTGGAGAAGATGTCTGTGCGCGGTCTGGACATACAGCGCTATGAACATATCATCGACGGCGTCTCCTACTGTCTGGTGTGTGCCAAAAATGATGTTTTCAAAACATTCAAAAACAAATACAGTTTTCAACGTCACGCCTATCTTTTTCACGAGGGCGAAAATCGTAAAATATTCGCCTGCCCCATTTGCAATAAAGAATTCTCACGCCCCGACAAAATGAAAATGCATAAAAAGGATAAACACGGCGACGTACAGCTGCCTGATGGCACGCTCACACCCGCCTCAACGCCAGTGAAGCAAGCAGCCGACGCGCCACCGGCGAAACGTTCACGCGCCTCAGGCAACCGTACGCCACGTGCACGTAAACCGCGCTCCACCATTGCCAACACGGCCACAGTGTCGGTCAGCAGCAGTAGTGAAGAGAATGCGGTGGAGGCTAAACGCAAACGTCTGGCTCAAATCGATAGCGTTATAGATGTGGTGCAGCAACAAGCGGCCGATGTGAATGGGGCACAGGCGCAAACGGGCACAATTAGTGTGCAACTGCAGCAGCAGCCGAATGTCGCACAGCAGCAGCAGCAACAGCAACAACAACAACAAGTGCAGGTGCAACAACAACAAACGCTGCCATCAATCGACTTGAGCGGCATGATACTGCCAGGTGGTGCTCAGCTAGCGCTGGCCAATCCCAGCAACACCTCTGCACTCTTGCAACAACAACGTGTTACACACCACCAGCAGCAGCAACAGCAACAACAGGCACATGCGCCGCCACCGCCACAACAACAACACATCACATTGACCGCACAACCCACACAGGTGCTGCAGCCATCAGCAACAGCCGCCACTGCTGCCGGCGCTGCAAGCACCACGGCAGTCATCTATTCGAATCAAATTGATTTGCAGCAAGCATTGCTACAACAGCAGCTGCACGGTCAGAGTATTATGATTCAAGATCAAGCTGGAAATTTAGTGCCATTGCAGTCACTTCAGGCGCTCAACGCGACTACCTCGTTGGATGGCACGCAAACGATTTATACAACAACACAGCCAGCGCGTCACGCGCAGCCACCGCAACAGCTGTTGCAGGCGACTCAGCAAACGGCAGCGCAGAGTGCGTACCAGACGGCGCCGCAGCAGCAACAGCATATACAGTTGCAAGCGCTGCCTAGTGGTTCGCCGCAAGAGACTATTATCACAACAACAACAACGCCAGTTGCGCAAACACAACAGCAGCAGTTGAAAACGACAGCGCAGCAGCAGCAACAACAGCAACAACATGGAGGCAATGTAGCGCAGCATCAGCAACAGCAACACTATGAGCTTGAAAATGTTGCATATCTCTCATCGACCGCCGCAACGCCGGCGCCAGCAGACCAACAACAACAGCAGCAACAACAACATCATGTTATCGGCACGGTACAAAGCTACCAAATACTCACCCCAGACGGCCTGCAAGCATATCCCACAGCCACGGCGACCACAACCAAACTCGAACCGAGTGATTTGGCGGAGTTCTCACCCTACACCTCACTCTCCAGCACGACGCCACACTACACGTTCACAACGCATGCTAGTCATCATGGCGCCGCGGCGGACGCGCAACAGCTGCATCAGCAAATAGCAGGCGCCACAACTAGTCACACCCAGCAACAGCAGCAGCAGCAGCACCAACTGACGGCGGTTGGAGGTGGCGGTGGTCAACAACAACAACATCATGTACCGCATCAACAGCATCACTTTATGGAGTTGAAAAATGATTTGCTAATTAAGAGCGCTGCGGATGCGTACGCGTTGGACGCGAGCTCCATGTATCACCTGCCCTTCTCGCCCTCGTCGATGATCAGCTCGGTGAATGATGTCAACGGGCAATCGTTGCTTGAAACCAAAGAGATTAGGTAATAGAAATTGATATTAAACCAAAAAAAAACTCTCTCTCACTTTCTCTTTTAATACGTCACTGACTTGTATTGGTAAAAGTATAAATTTGCAAAATTGCTTATGGTAAAATAAAATTGAAATAGTAGTGAATTGTGTATGTTTCAAACAGTTTAATAATATGAATTTTTAGATTGTTATTAATTTACAGCGCTGCGATTGCCTGACTGCCTGCCATCCAATCAATCGCCGGCGTGTTTGTGACAACGCTAACATGTGAAATATGAAAAATTCTATGTTTTTATAGAGTAAATTTTTTAGAGGTTGTTTATTTTTTTTTTTATTTTTAACGGTAATGTAATGCTAATAAAACAGTTGTATGAGTTAAAAAAATGTATGAAATAAAAGTATAAAAAAGCTTTGTTTGAAATTTATATGACAATTAAGTACTTAAAAGTATTTTTAGTTTAGTATTTCTATGCATACTTAATTTTTTTGGATTTATATAGAAAATAATTAAAATTTTTTTTAGTATTTTTTAATCTAAAATTTTTTATTATTTAAATAAAAAATGTCAACTTTATTTACTATTTATATATTTTTTTTTTAATATTTACATATAAAGTAAATAATTGTTATCTTTATTTTGTGTAGTCCTGCATTGCTATTTTTTTTGTATGATAAAAATATGTATTTTTTAAAATTGTCTTCTATAATAATATTTTATATTTCTACTTTTCGTATTATAAAAATTCTGTTAATTTTATACAACATAAGAAACATGTGTGTATTTATACTGCTGTTGCGTTGTATTGTTGCTGCTATTTCTTCTTCTTCTCATACTTAACACACTCTAATTACACTTTAAACACTCAACAAAGTCAAACACTACCATTAAAGTCTGTATCAGAAGGTGGAAATAAGGCTTTTATTTTTTTTTTTTAATTTTGAAACAAGAATTAATTTTTTGCCTTATTTCTAATGCATATTAATACTTTTTTTTAGTTTAATTACAATTTCTGGTGTATTAAAAAATTTAATAACTCCTACTTTCAGTGTGGTGTGGTGCATTTTTGGTGGTAATTTTAGAAATAGGTATTTGTTTCATTTTTAAAACTGAAAATCTTGAAGTGTTGCCTATTTTTAAGCGCATATTAAGAAATTAGCAATTCGATTTATCAGGAGTTTTCTAAATTCCCACTTTTTAAATGCAGTTAGCCTAATTTTAGGCACTTTATTAATGGCAATTTGCATTATAGTTCTTTCCTGGCTTCAAAACTAAAATAAAAAACATATTCAGTAAACTTATATTTCAATATATGGTCATGATTGCGTTTATTTATGTTTATTGCATACCTTTCGGCGCTTAATAATTTTATTAAAATCTGTTTAAATATTTTATTGAAAAATATTTTATATTTTGTAATGCAGTTTTCATTATTACATTCTAAATGTATTCCAAACAACATTACTTAGGCGCTTTATTAATGATAATTTAAAAAAAAATCATACGTTTCAATGTAGTTTCCCTTCTTCGAGTATGAAATTTTTCTTACTTACCTTTAGCATTTTTTATTTTTTAAATTCGCCAAAATGTAAAAATGCTTCAAACTCCAATGTCTAAAACCGAAATGGGCTATTTTTAGGCTTCATTTTTCTATACATAGCTAATAATGTGCTTATCTACGTTTTGTTGCCTACATTTAGGCGCCTCGTCACTTAATAAAATGATATATTTATTATATTTTTTAACAAATCTTTCAAACCATTTAAAATGTAATGGCAATTTTTAAAAATCGTTTGCCTACTTTTAGACCTCCATAAAAAATTAAATAAATTTTCTAGCTATTTTATATTTTCATGCATTTTCATTAATGTGCAGACGCTTTAAAAAATTGAATATAAACACAACCCTTGTTTATGAGCACTTAAAATATAATTATCGGTTATCGAAGGGTGCAAAATATAAATATGTGAAAGTGACCAACTGATCAAAAGAATTTATTTATTTAAAAATTATCGATTAATCGATCTATATATGTGACCAAGTTATCGATTAATAAATTTAGCTCGATTGAGTTTTCGATTAATAAATTTTGTTTTACAATTTATATCGATTATTCGACTATTTTTTTCTTAAATTTATCGGTAAACCAAATAATTCTGTTTTAGTTTTCGCTTAATAAATTAATTTTAAATTTGCATCGATTAATCGATTCATTTTGTGAGTTGAATCCATTTAATTTGTTAAAGCTTAGTCGGTTTATTCTGAAGTTTTCGATTAACCGATTTAATTTGATAAAAAAGTTATCGATTAATTGTTTTATTTTGTGTTGAAGTTATCGATTAAATAATTCTATGTTGCGCAATCAAAAATTTAAACGTTGATAAGACTATTTTTGGGAAAGTTTACAAATGATATTTACAGAAATGTTGCCTACCTTTAGGTGCCACACAAATTGAATGTTGAATTGGTTTTGCTATGCGTATCTAAAGTTGCCAACACCAAAGCCACACACTACTATTTTTCCCAATTGACTACTATTTTCATATATATATACATATATTTTTTTTTTCAAAAATTTGTTTTAACACTACTCATATGAATGAAGTAAATTTGAAAAAAAAAAAAATATCTCGCGAGCTTGAAAATATTATTCTCATATAATTTGAGTGTTATCTACATTTGGCCATTTTAATTTTGTATATTTTAATTAAAATGCTTCATTGTGGTAGTAGTATATTAAAAAATATTTTATACTAATTAAAACTAATAATAATTATTTATTTTGTTTCAAGAGCTCATTATTGAATTTATTAATTAAATAATATTTTTGCGTTATCTTTGAAATTGTTGTGTAATTTAACTAGTTGTACTTGTTGTTGGGTCAATATTATTTTACTTTCTTTCATTTATTAAAATTTTTCAAATGTAAAATATTCATTTATTATAAATATTATTTAAACATGCAATATATATATTTATTTTTTTTTTTCATTATAAAAAACATTAATTTAATTTATTTTTTTTATTTTGTTTTCTTCTCTTTTTTCTTTTTCATTTATTTTTTTAAACGCAAAAAACAAAACCTTTGTAAATGAACGATTACAACAACTCGTCACACGACTACGTTCGAATAAACAACAACAAAAAAAAACCTTAACATTTCCTGCCAACCTCCTTACAACGCCTATATGTACATAAATAAATATAAATATACATATACAAAAACCCAAACGCACATATAAATGTACATTCACACAAATGAATTCGTTAAATAACCAACCAAATGTACAGCTATGATATCACCGAGGCGGTTCTGTTAGCGCTGTAATACGATCAAAGCGTATTTTAAGCTGCAAAGAAGCGGATGCTATAAAGGAATCGAAAAATGGTTAAAAGAAAATTAACTAAAAGAAAATGGGAGAAAAAAGATTGTTAATTTAAACTATTAAGAAACAAGTTAAAATAAAAAGTTATATTAAAAAAAATAAAAATTAAATTTACAAAAATTAAAAAAATAAAAAAAAATTTTAAAAATAAAAAATTAAATTTAAATTAAATTTTAAAAAACTAAAAATTAAAAAAAAAAACTAAATGTAAAAAAATTTAAATTAAATGAAAAAATAATAATAATTAATAGTTAATAGTTAATACTAAGGGCATAGAAGCACCCGAATGAGACAAAAAAGATATTACAAAACAACCGCATATACGTGTACTACGTTTGAGGATCTGATTGCGCGTCGTATCCTTTCATTTGAGCATGCGCATTACCGTATATTTTTATTTAAAATTATATTCATTTTCTTATAACAACATACATATGCTGCAAACTACTCTGCTACTACTACTGTTCAATAAAATATTGTACCAAAGGTATGTGTTTTCGTCAAAAAAAAAATAATATTTGTGTTTTTGTTTTTTGGTTTCTAGTAAATTTTTGTTGGTTTTTTTCTTCTTCATATGGCTAGCGGTAGTTTTGTTTTTTTCCCCCCCTTTTTGGTTATGGATTAGATTAGAAATATTCGCTGTGGTTTCTTAGGTGTTTGAAAATAAGAAGAAGCATATACAAAAAAAATAATTTGTATGCGGAGAAATTTTTTAAAAATAACCCATATATGAAAATGTTCTAAAAATCAGGCGCAACTAGTTTTATTTTTTAAACCAATTTTTTTTTCCAAACTTTTGAATTACGAAAATTCTATTTCAAAACCGTCGACCATTACTTTGCTGCTTTGGTTAAAAATATCTAGAAAACACTTCTCTCAGGTAAATTTCAATTGCAGGTCCGTCTCTTTCTCTTCTATCTTCTTTCTCTCTCTCTCTCCTCTCTCTCTTATGCTATGGGCATCTTCTTGTTCCCAGTTGTCAACGAGTTCTGCTGAAAAATTGCCATGTTGGCCACAAATTTTTCTTTGTTTTTCATTTATTTGCTTTACCCAACACATTCTTAGATTTTTTTTCAAAATTTTTCTTTTTGCTGTTTTTTCTTACATTTTTGTCACTTTAATTCCAACAATTTATCAGAGGGAATGCGTAATTTCATGATTTATTAACATGTTCCGTAAAAAAAATTACAATTTTTTTTACATATGTATAAAGTATGTATGTATGTATGTACGAATCTGTATATATTCACGTGCTTTCATCGATTTAAAATAATTTTTTGATTTTAAATTAATTAACATTTCTTTTTTATTTATATTAATATGCACAAACCAATCCATTGTTTTTTCATTCAACTCATCCAAGCCTTGAGCTGTTTAAAATAGGGCTGTTGTACAGATAGAAATTTAAATTAATCTTTAAAAAAAATCATATATTTAAAATAGCAATTTTATAATATTTATTTTAATAAGTTTTTTTTTTTTGATAATTATTGAAGATTAATCGTTTAATTCATCTCTAACGCTATTGATTAAACGAAGGACGCAAATAATTTTTGAAAAGTTTTTTATTTCATCGATTTTTGTGAAAGTTATCGATATATGTGTATCATAAAAATCGATTTATTATTTTCTGAACTTACTGATTAAACGAAAGACACAAATATTTTATAGAAAAAGTTGTTAAAATTATCTATTAACCGATTTTCGTACAAGTTATCGATTTTTGTAGATATTTTTTAAGTAAAATTGTTATTTTTAATCTATTTGAACAGATCTATAATTGGGTTATGAACCTATCGACTGATTGCAAAAGTTATCGACTCATAAATAATTTGAAGCAGTGGCCATTTAAATGGCTAAAGTTATCGATTTCTTTTTAGTTGTCCACCAAACTGTTTACAAATTTATAGTTGTCAATTAACCGATGTGCGCAAATATTTTACGAAATTAACGTTTAATCCATTTCCGTTAAAATTATTGATTACTCGATTTTTGTTCATTTCTCGTTGTATGCATTTTTAAATTGGCCGAAAATCACTTCATCGGTTATACATCAAAGCATTTTTAAAAATATCGATTTTGTTGAAGTGATCGATCTAGCAATTCTTAAAATCATCGATTAATCGATTTTGTTGCAAATATCGATAACAAATAAATTTTTAAAATGATCAGTTAATCGTTATCTCTGTATATTTATTTTTAAAATCATCATATAAGAAAATTTTATGTTGAAATTTTTGGTTATTAGATTTATTTTTGATCAGATATCGATTAATTTATCTTATTAATTTTGACTGATTTTGCCTTGATTTTTTTGTCAAAATTATCGATCAATCAATTTATTTCGTTTCACTTATCTATTAATTAACTGTGTATTAAAATATGAATTCAAATATCAATTAATCGATAATCAATTTCGAGTTATCGATTATACCATTTGTTTTGCTGAAATTTTCGATTAGACTACCCATATACTGATTGATCGATTTATTTTGTTAAAAACATCGATTAATCCATTTATTTTTCGAGTTATCGATTAATGCTTATATCTTGCCAAAAATTTTCGATTAAACGACCTACATCTGTTAAAGCTATTGATTAATCGATTTATTTTTGTTAAATACATCGATTGATAGATTTTTTGTGTGAAAATTACCGATTAGTTTTTTGTTTTTAGTATCGAATAGGTGACTGCTTTAGATGTCAATTAATGTGTGCAATTCTTACTAAAGTTTCGATTTATTTTGCTCAAGTTATTATTTAATCTTTTCATTTAATTGAAATTTTCGAATAATCGACCTTATGGAAGCTATTTTGTTAAATAGATCCATTTATTATTGTTGTAGATTTACTTTACTGAAATTATCAATAAATTTTTTGTTTTTAAATTTTTATTAATTGACTGTTTTATGGATATCGATATAATAATAATTTTTGCCATCAATTAATCGATTTATTTTGTTCAAGTTATCGATAAATCCTTTTATTTTACTGAAGATTTCGATTAATCGATCTCTTTTAAACCATTTATTAACCGCTTTATTTTGTTCAAGACATCGATTAATCGATTTTTCGATACATTTTGGTTTAAGTTATCGATTTATTAATTTATTTTCCGAATTTTGTTGTATCAATCGATATGTTTTTGCACAATTTCGGACAACATTTCTTCCTCTAACCTACACAGCCCAAATTTAAAATACAATAATCAGTATCATTGCACCGTAAATCTGTACATAATGTACATATATATGTACGTATGTATGTGTATATGAATTTATACCAAACACCTTTATAATTATAAGATTAATTTTTATTTCTTAAGAATGAAAAAATTCGATTTTAAAACTAATTTATTTTTATTGTCTTTTTTCTTTGCGTTCTTCTTTTTTACATGATAATTAATTTCAACGTCTATGTTTGTGATTGTGTATCTGTCTGTCTGTATGTCTACTACCTCACCACACGAATGAACGCGTAGGTTTTTCTAAAAGCAACAACAATCAAAATCAATACAAACATATTATAAACAATAACAACAACAACAATTATGACAAACAACACCATCACCATCACCAATCACTCATTGCCGACACAAATTTCCCCTTCCAACAACCAACAACACCACCACTACCACCACTGCAACCGATCAAACGTAGAGTTGGCCGACCACGAAAATGTCCAGATACGAACCTATCGAGTTTGGCAAGCTCTAATCGTACAAAAACAACAACAACAACAACAACATTTGCACCAAAACCAACAACTGTTCCATCACCCAGTTCATCATTGTCACCAACACCATCACTACCAACAACAATATTGCATGTAGCTACCCCCATCAGCGATGTAAATGCCATCCGATATCATCTCAATTCATCATCACCAACAGCAACAACAGCGCCAGACAATGCCAACACCGAACAAAACAAAAAGACCGCCACACAAGTCATAATACACAAAAGCACAACAACAACAACAACACCAATACCATCAACAACATTAGTTATACCCAACCCAACACAGTTACAATGTAGCAACAACAACAACAGCAGCAACAACACCAACGCCAACAACAATAAATCAACAGCAACAACAACAATGGCAACAATAAGTTTGCCAACAACACCGCTGCCATCACCGTTAAGTAAATCCATTAATATGGGCATCATTGGTGGTGATGGCGATGGCGGTTTTGGTGGCAAATTCAACAACAACCACAACAACAAGAGCCATATGGTTACCGCGCTCGGCAACAGCACAGGCAATGGCAGCGTTAACTACAAGAAAAACTACAATAATAATACAACAAATAATTACGTTGATAAATTTACTGATTTTATTTCGCATGCTCGCTTTGCTGGCAATAAATTAACCACAACAACAAATTGCTCTTCTCCCTTTCTCAAACCAACCGCACCGTTGCCCATAAAAACTACAACGCAAAACAGGACTATCGCTGGTGCTACAGCGGGCGCAGGCAACACCATCATTAGAAACGCCAACAACACCGTTATCACCACTAGCACAAGCAACGCCACCGGCAATGGCAACGGCAACAGGAAGACGACAATACAACCGCGTACAGTGCAGCTGCTAGTAACGCGTCGACCTATTATCACCAGCGCCAATGCCAGCAACACCAACCCCAACCAAATTATTGCGAGCAATAGCAACGCCCTCAGCGCTGGCGCTACACAAACCGCAACTATTGTCGCACCGGGCGTGTTAAAAATTACATCAACAGCAGCGCCGACGCTTGCACACAATCACAACAACCAAACAACCATCTTACACACCACCGCTGCCGCTAGCACCGCCAACAACAACAACGCTGCCGCTGCAGAAACCGTCGTTATTGAGGAGGAGGATGATGAGCTACTAACCGCGACAAGTGGCGATGAGGGCTCAATCTCCCCCAGCGCGCTTGCAATGTCAGCGACTACAGCGCAAATTTTGCGAAAATTCCGCATACCCAAGGGTACAGCGTTAACGGCGAAAACGATGACAACAATGCTGACGAGTAATGCGGCGGCGGAGACGCTGATTTGTAGCGCTTCAACATCGCCAGCACAATCGCCCATACATTCCACTACCTGCTCGCCACCACCGCCAGCGGATACCCCCAACTCCGTCGATTTGGTTGAGGAAGTAATCGAGACAGATGAGAATTCAACGTGCCACTCGGCGGAAGCGCTTATGACGGCTGACACCACCACCGCCGATACCATAAACGAATGTGATGATATGGAGGGCGAGGAAGAAGAGGAAGATGAGGAGGCGATGGCGGCGTCAATTGTTGAAGCGGCGGACATCGGCGACAGCAGCAACACGGAAACTAACAACGCTCACGCCGCAAACACAACAACAGTTTTAGTACCAAATAATGGCGCTATAGCAACGGCTACAGCGCTGCCACAAATACAACTACAAACCATACAACCGAACGGTACTGTGACCTGCATAAATCTACCGCCAAATACAATATTGCTCACAGCGCCGGATGGGTCTACGATACTTGCGCAAGCGACGCCACAACAGTGGAGCAAACTTACACAGCAACAACAAACCCTCCAGCAACAACCCCAGCAGCAGCAGGCGCAACAACAACAACAACAACAAATTATTGCAATACCAGACTGGCATAGCAGCGGCGCCAGCAGTAGCGTGAATAGTAATACCGCCACCGTATTGCAGGCGGTACAACAACAACAGCAGCAGCAGCAACAGCAACAACAAGCAGCTGCTACCACAACACAAACACTGCTATTCACCACCGACGGCACAGCCATACCACTTTTGCAATCTGCGCCTGCGCCGTCCAGCAATGCAGCCGGCGGCTCGACAAACGCCGCAGCAGCGGTGGCCGCCGCGCAGATTATTGCCGCTCAGCAGGCTGAGGCGTTGAAGGCGCAAGTGTTGGCGTAGGGTTTTGCCGGTGGCCAATTGGGGTGATATTTGAATAATGCCACGATTATGCCTACAGCGTATTTTTTCTAAAACAACCGAGCATACATTTGTACATACCACCACCAGCAGCAGCAGCAGCAGCAACAACAGTTGATGTGCATACCCAGTCGCTACAATAAGAACAACAACAACACTGGGAAAGGTAATTTTTATATGTATGTACATTTACATATTTATTTCAAAGATTGTAACTACTTTATGGGCGAGTATATTATTAAATATTGTTTAAGTATATTATATTCAACATTGAAATATTTTGGTTGAAAAGAAAAAATATTTTTGATAAAAAAATTATTAAATTTTAGTATGGTTTGAAACAAAATTAATTTTTATTCTCTATAATTATTTATCAAAATTAAAAAAAAAAATATTTTTTCTACTCAGTTGACAGTGTTTAAAGAATCAATAGCTGCATGTGAATATCGAAAATAGCGCCAATTAGCTACAGGCAAAAATTAATAATAATAAATTATTTAAGAAAAAAAAAATAATATTAAAAAGATAACAGTTTAAATGCTCAACATTGCGAATTTTTCGCAAAAAAAAAATTTTTGCTTGGTATATGCTGGTCAATTACAATAATTTTGTATAAAATAATACAAATATAGTGAATGTTTGAAAAAAATCTTCAAAAAGCATTAATTTTTTTTTGTAAATTTTAATACTAATAAAAATGGTGTGCTTAAAAAAGGAACAACAAATAAATTATTCAGTTTTATTATATTTTTTTTTAATTATCAATATTTTTTTTATCTTATTACTTTTATTTTTTAATTCACAATAATACATAAAAAGTTGTAGACATAATATTTCTTTTTGTAAATTCTCAAAAATAATCTTTAAAAATTATTTAATTTAATTATATTTTTTATTTCTCAATATTTTATATTTATGTTTTATAATTTTTTTATAATTATGATTTTAATAATTTTTTATTATTAATAAATGCTTTTAATTCGCGATAATAATAAATAAAATAATATCGATTTTGAACTATTTTTATGATTATTTTTTTATTTCTCAATATTTTTTATTATTATTAATTCTCGATAATAAATAGAAAAGATTCTTTATATTACTTTAAATCTCAATAATAAATAAAACGATATACATATTATATATTTTTTTTATACATCAATAAAAAAAAACATGAAAATAAAGTTTTTTTCTTTTCAATTATTATTTAATTCTCAATAATTTTATTTATTTAGTATTATTATTTTATTATTATTTTTAATTCTCAATATGTTTTTATTTTTTTACTTTTATTGAAAATTTTCAGTAATAAATAATGTAATTGGAATTTCGTATTTTTTATGATTATTTTTTTCTAATTCGCAATAAATTATTATTATTATTAAATGTTGTTAATTCAGAATAATTTTTATTAACTGTTTTTCACTCTCAATAATAATCAAAATAATATAGATTTAAAATTTATCTTTTTTTTGGGCAAAAGAGTCTCTCAAAATTTGATACCATTTTTAAGTCTATTTTATAATGGGAGGAATTGTGTACTTTTTTTAAATTAATAACCAAAAAATTCAACAAAAAGTTATTAACTTTGTTTTAAAATCTATTTTCTGTTGGGAAATTAAAAAAAATAAAAAAGTTTTTTACTTTATGCCTTTTTTGCAAGAGTTGTTTTTGTTTAAATTTTTTATTGAGAATTTAAAACTTTTGCAAAAGATTGTATAAAGCAAATCAGCTGATATTATTTTTCTAAACATTTTTTTTAGTTTTTTTTTTAATTTATTTTAATTATAGTTTTTCAAATTTATTTTAATAAAAATTTTTTTCTTGTTACTTTTTTATGTTTTTCAGTTTTTGTATGTTTTATGTTTTAGTTTAATTATTTTTTGTGAGCTTATTTCTATCTTTTAATTTTAATTTTTGCATAATTGAGTTTTAATTTTATTTTTTTTTTAAACTTATTGTAATATAGTTTTTCTAAATTTATTTTGATTAAATTTTATTTTTTTCTTCTTGTAACTTTTTTATGTTTTTCATTTCATTTTTAGTAGATTTTTTTTTTGAGTTTATTTCTATTTTTGTATTTTTATTTTTTATTTTACCTTGTAATTTTATAATTTTTTTCCAAATTTATTTTAATTTTTTTTGTAATTATTTAATTTATTTTTTTAGGTTTTTTTATATTTTTTTTTTTGCTTTAGTTTTTGTAATTTTTGTTTGTTTTTGTATATTTTATTTTTATTTATATTTGTTTTTCTAAATTTTGTTTTTTTTTTTACTTTTCACCTAACAATATTTCTTGAAATATTTGACAACAAAGCATAAATGTAATGTTTAAAATTAATTAATACAAAGAACAACAACAAAATCACATTTAAAGTAACTCCATAGTGTAATGAAAATAATTATTGACTATTATTGCTATTTTTATTAAAAGAAAAAATAAATAAATAAAAATTGGCAGCCGGCATATATCTTGCAAAAGAATATTTCCAATAAAGAGAATCCTTCTAAACTGCAAATCAATTAAAATTTAACTAAAAATTATATACTAAACGTGTTAACTGTGGACGATATACCAAATACCAATTGCGATAAGAAAAAGTGAAGAAAAAATAAATAAATGTAAAATATGTGCGAAATATATATAAATATATGTACATATATATACATATATATGTATTTCTACTGCATGGCGTGTTGAAGTTTACACTATTGTACAACAATGCATAATATATACTCGTTACATACATACTACTATATGAGAAGAAATGTCTAATGCTAAAATGTATATATTATAGACGATTAATTAATTACCAAGAAGCAAGCGTAAGTGGTATTTAAGTTATGCATAAATGAAAAAAAAATTTAATCGAAAGAAAAAAATACAATAAAAACAAAAACAGCAACTAGAGACGCGCTCAATTAATTGTGTTGAATTTAAAATCGATAATACATATATTTGAGAATGAATCAAATATTTTGAAAAATTGTATAAAATCATTCTATTTGTCAATGCATAAATTTGACTACAAATAAAACAAGAAAAATTTAAATTTAATAAAATAATTTTTGTAAAAGCATAAGCAATTGTAGTATGAAGATTGCTTGCCAGACCAATATCAATTTAAGAATTATTTATGTACTAAACTACTACTACTATTACAAAACAGTGTGAAAAGCAAAATGCAGCTAATAGAGATTTTTTCTTTCAAATCTCTCATATCTGCGCTACTTGACAGTTGAATTAATTATTGGTTTATTTTTCAAAAATTGTCACAAATTTGCAGTAAATTTTTTTAAAAAAAATCTCCAAACTGCTTATGTAGTAAAGAAGTTTATATGAATTAAGAAAAATATTTTAAACTATTTTTTTTTGTTATAATGCTTTACAGCTTATTTGGTATAATTTGAGCTTAAAACGAAGCAGTTTTTTTAAGAAATTTTCTATCAAATTGGTTGAATTTTCAATATTTTTTAGCGGCACTCAATAATTTTTATTTATAAAAATGTAATTAGTAATATATTTAATATATTTTAAATTTTTGCGGTTTTCGTGTTTATTTTTTTGGATAACAGCTCAAAATAAATTCTGCATCCACTAAATATATATTTGTTTGCCATTTTACTCTTTTTTTTGTGCTGTTCTATGCCATTTTTTACAACAACTACATTTTTGTTAATTTTGTTTTAATTCGGGTGCTGTCTTAGTTTAGTTAAATAATTTGTTTTTATCAATTGCTTTGTATGTACATATATGTACATTATTTCATATATTTATTATAAACTTTAAATCAATATTTTAGTTAATATTTTATTTATTATTACATTCTATTAAAATAATGTTTTAATTATTATTTTTTTAACTAATGTAGACATTTTAGCAACTAAATAAGTTCCATTTTTTATATATATGGGAATTGTGCCTAAAAGTATGCAACATGTATGTATATTAATTATTTTTTTGTCTTTTCTTGATAAAAAAATCTCAAAACTGAATTTTTTTTATCAAGCACAAAGAATTTCAAATAAAAATGGTTTATTCATATTTTTTTTAAATTTAACATAAAAATAATACAGTTTATATTTACTTTTTTATTTGTTATTAATTATCAAAAAATATATATTTTTTAAACTAACTAATACTATAATTTTACTAAAACGCAAAAAGATTTTTGAATCAAATTTTTTATTTTAAAATTCTTTATTTTTGAAAATAATCTAAAAACAATATTTTTTTTAATAAAACTGAGATTTTTATTTTTTTTTTAAAGTAATCCAAAAATAATTCATTTTTATGTGGATTTCTAATTATTATAGTTTTTTTTTTAAATTAATTCAAAATGCTATTTTTATTATTATTGTATAATATTGTTTTATTTTGGAAAAATAATTAAACAAAAAATTATTTAAACTCAAATCATTCCAATTAACTTTTTTTTCAAAATAACATAAAAATAATAAAAAAAAACACTTTTTTCTTTTGAAATTTATCCTTTATATAAAAAAAATTAGTAAAAGTCAAAATTAAATTTTTTTTGAAAATTATCCTAAAATAATAAAAAAAAAGTTGATTTAAACTCAAATAATTTCAAATAAATCTTTTTTTTTTAAAGTAGCTTAAATATAATCGATTTTTTATGCAAATAATTTTTATAAAATCTTTTTTGGACACTTCACTTAAAATATTAGTTGTTTTCTTAAACTAATTTTTTTTTTTTTTTTTTTTTTTTTTTTTTTTTTTTTTTTTTTTGAAAATTTACCCAAAACTTTATTTTCCGCTAGAACTCAAAATTGTATTTTGATTTTTTAATATTAATCTACAAACAATAGTCAAAGAATTTTATTTGAACTTTTTTCAAAATTCAACCTAAAAATTACAAATTTTTTACCCTAACTCAAAAAAGTAGTAGAATATATTTCAAAATTCTTATAATTGGGCGCTCAACGCCTCCTGTTATATTCTATACTTGCCGTTGCACTGAAACTGGTTAAACTTTCATATAAATGTTGCATACTTTCAGGCGCAATTTTCCGTAGTTAATAGCTTTTGGTGTTACAGAAAATGTAAATAAAAACAGCAAATAAAAATAAATTAAAAAATAATAATTACTAACAAAAATTACAAAAAAAAAAAATGAAGACAAATTCAAAGAACTACACAGTAAGCAAACCAGACGAGGCATATGAAGAGAATTAATATACAAAAAAATATTTTACTAAACCTCTAATTTATATTTTAGTAATGTATGTAAATGAAAACAATTAAAAATATTTATGAATAAAAATAATAATTAATACATATAATAATCTATGCATACATACAGATGTCCATTTGCTGGTATTTCTTTCACTTTAGTTAGCTTTCGTTCATTGATTGATCTAACTTTATCTATATGATAATATTATTATTATTTATATTAAAAAAAAAATATTTGTTTTACAAACAAATGAATAAAAATAAAATAAAAGTTCATAAAATACAAACAAAAAGAAATGAAAACATAAATATTTAAATTGTAATGACAAACAAAAAGTATTTAGATTGTAAGCACATGTTTAATAAATTAACTAATTTAGTATGTATATACACACATACATACATAAGATAAGCAAAACAAACAAACTGCGAAGCAAAGCAAGCAAGAAACTATAATAATTTAAGAAATTTACCGATTTTGAGGGTGAAAAAAAAAATATAATTTAAATTAAATTAAATTTTGAATTGAAGTTTTCGTATTTTAATTTAGATTTATTTAAAACTTTTTGAAATGCATGAGAATTTGAAAAAAAAGAATTAAAAATAACAAACTAAACGAAAAAAAAAAAAAATACAAACAAAAACCAATGATTGATATTTAGTATTAGCGCTAAGAAATTTAATTTATAATAATTAAAATAATTAAATACTAAGCGCAATATATATGAAAGAAAATAGTTTGTGTAACTAAACGAAGTAGAAAAAAATCCTTGCAAAATACATGAACAAACAAATAGTTTCGTAGAGAAAAAATAATATAAAAATTAATTAAAATAAGATATAACAAATAAAAATAATTTAAAATCAAATTTAAAATAATAAAAAAATAAATTAAATTAAATTATAAAATTTAAAACTAAAATTAGTTTGTAAGCACCTGTAAAATATATTATACACTATATTAAATAATTAACTACGAAAGTAATTCATAGATACACACACACACAGACATACATGAATGTAATAAAAATAAACTATTCTAATATTAGTGAATACACTGTGCTCTGCTCAGAAATCTTCTATTGGCATAGCATATATGTATGTACATATAGCTGCGTGTCATGACGAAAGAAAAATATTTAATTAAAATAAATATTTAAAAGCAAGAAAAAAAATATTATTACAAAGTTCCCGCTTCAAGCACAGTGTAATAAATTATTTAAAAACTTAATATGAATTATCACTTCATATTAAACTCGTACATTACATACATACATACATACAAGTACATATACACGTATGATATAAAATAAAGGCGAAGAATGATTTCATAAAAATTATGGCAAGCATTTTATTTTCAATTTTTCATGTATAAATGTAAACAGTAGGAAGGAACTTACCAAAAATGTTGCATATTTTTAGGGTACTTTGAAGAAGAGCTGTTATTTCAAGTAGCACAATGGCCGATTGAAGTTGTTTTTTTTTATATATATATTTTTAATTGAAAATCTTCTATACTCGTTAAAAATGCTCACTTCCCGTTACGCCTTGTCTTTAAAAAGTTTTTCGGCACAGAGTGTTTCACGGGGGGGAACAGGTTAGGATACCTAAAGCATGGAATTTTCCACACACCACATTTAGTTCAGTTCTTATAAGATCAAAATTGGCACAGATATCGATAGCGATCACACAAGTCTGAAGTGTGATTTCATGACCTTCACAGTTCACCCATTTGCGACTATCTAATAGGCGCTTCGTAGTTAGTCAAATATTGTGATTTAATTCCAGGGAATTTTTAATCTTTGACGTTGGACACTATGGCATAGTCGGTTCAGTTGTTAAGAGGGATTGTTGTTGTTGTTGTAACTGCAAAATATTCCCCGAATTGGTTTTTGGGTAATATTGCGAGAGTTAAAGTCCTTGGTCGAATAAAAATCTGGGTCCTTCCTGTATAAAGTCCGACCATCGCGGGAACTGTTGGATTTCAGTCACTTCTTATGACAAGTATGCCTTACCAAGGGTAAATTCTTGAGCTCCTGTCCCGCAGGGAATGACGAAAACGGCAAACACATGAGAGACAGGAGCTTACCTTCGCACATACAAGTAAGTTGCCAATATCCGGCTTTGACGCCAAGCTCGCAACATCAACGGTATATAAGGCCAGCGAAATTCTTTCGTGATGCGAGCTACGGGTTGGTTGTGAAAATGCAGTTATGGTAGCCGCGTGGTTAGCATCGCGTACTGACATTCGGAAGTCACGGGTTCATATCCCGATGCCACATTCGTTAGGGAATGTTCACTCCTCCGAGTGTGTTTCGGATATGAAATAAGGGCTCCTCGTAAAAAAAAAATCAGCCGTTCGGAGGCTTCTTAGTATGAACTGTAGGTCAACATCAAGAGGAGAAGGAGCTCGGCCGAAAAATCGCTTCAGCAGTTACAAAGCGTCTATTACATATAGTACATATATAAATATTAAAATGAAAGAAATCACATTCATTTGAATTGCCTTTTGGCTTCCTTCTACTATAAAAATAAGATAGAGAGCAGAATACAGTTAACAAGAACAGACAATTACTCAAGCTTATTTTCGAAATCACCGCCTTTATGGGAAATTATGTCGAAAATCATACAAAAAAGAGTAGTTTCTTAATATAAGCTTTTATTTACCGTAACTCGTAGCTGAAACGCAGTGTAGCCTTATCAGTGTTGATTTAATAGCCACCCATTCGCTTAATTGCTGCGAGTTGGGGGGTTCGTTTGCTTATTTTTGTACATTTTTCGTTTTTAGTGACATTCGCTGACAGCAAATGTGGAAAATGCACCAACACACACATACAAAAACAACGATTACCACCGGCAGCGGCTGACGGATTTGGGCTAAAAGAGCGAAATGTAACACAAAAGAGAAATAAGAAAAATATTGCTGCTTTTATGGGCGCTACGAATGCTTTTGAACAGCTGTAGGCAAGTTTACCCAATTCAAACGCTTCAAATCGAAATCTCAACTAAGCAGTGCGCCAGCGAGTTGTTTGCGTTTTCGTCTTCTCACTACATCCGTGCCTAACATACAGCTTACCCACTTCGTATCAGTTCATTCAGTTGACGTCCAAACATAAAAGCGACCGGTCTCTGTGGGAACATTTGTTTTTTTTTTAGAAAATAAATAAATATAAATAAAAATTTAAATATTTTTAGTACATATACAAGTGTACACGCTTCCAGCGAGTGATTAAGTGCAAACATTTAAACTTGTCTTGCAAAAACAAACATTTTAAACATTCTTCGAGTTAATTTTCTTTTGGCTGTGCAATAATAATTCCAAAATGGATCCCATGAAAGTTGAAGTGAAGAAGATTGATGAACTCTTCCGACTGGATGGCTATTTGAAGCCATTCGAACGCGAAATACGACGCAGGTGAGTGCTTTTTACACATACATACATACATATATAATTATTTATATATTTATATACATATAAAAAGTCATATTTTGGCTTGCGACTGCTGCAGCCCAGCCAATGCAAGCCTACTCTCAAAGTTCTTGGCCGGCGCTGATAAGCGTATGGCCACAGCGTCGCAGCACTCCGGCCGTAGTGTGTGCATAATGTTTTTACACGTATGTACATACTGGTAGTTATGTAGTTATTGAGAAAATGTCATTTAATAGCATAATTTTGTCTTTCGATGCGTTGAAAGTCATATTTTCTATGCTTTTCGTTTGTGATGCAAACAAACAAGCGACGCGCAGTGGCGCATAGTAGTTTTTCAAAGTCAGCTGAAGGTTAAAGTGATGAGCAGCGCACACCGGCAATTTGGCCTCGCCGCCCCATGGCGTACGTGTGCGTGTGAAAACATTTTTCTCTGCATATATTGTACATATGTGTTGCTGTGTATATGTATATATGTGTGTGTGTGTTTGATTGGTATTAAATATAAACAATAGTTGTTATCACGATTCTATATACTAAATGACGGGGCTAAAAGCGAAATAGTGATTGGAAGTGATAAGAAATATGAAAACAAAATTAGTTCCGTGAAGAATTTATTTTTGTAATAATTAGAGCGGTGTGTACTAAGAGTGAACTATGTACATACATACATGTGTTTATAAAATTTAATCTTATACAATTATAAAACTAATGAGCATAATTAAATAAAGTTAGAAGAAAGACGCAACATATCTCAGTGAATGCAAAAAATATATGCATATGTATACATATATGAATATATAAATATGTATATATATTTGGTGACATGTAACAGCTGAAGCGATTTTCGGTCGGAATGCAAAATATAATGCTGGCAATAATTATAGCATTGTTACCCTCTGGAAATATTTGTTGCTACAAATTAACAAAAAAAAAATAAAATAAAATACTCGAATAGCAGAAAGAGTATTTTACATATGAATTTATCGATTGGATGATAAAAAATAAATTCATGTATAAGCAATATAAGCGAAAATGACAATATGAAAAATAGTTTTTAAATTTATAAAAAGCCTAAAATAAATTATTCGCTTGTTTAATTGGAAAAAAAATATTTTCAGATTTCAATCAATGAAAACAGCCACTTTTCCCATTATAATTATCGATTTTGTATTTTAATTTATGTAAATTTTATTGATCTTATATTTTATATTATTTAAATTCATAAATACGATTTAACTTAATTTTACTTTTACTTTATTTTATTGTTAATATAATTTATTAATATATATTATTATTTGTTTATTTTATTTATAATTGACTTTTTTTAAATTAATTTTAAAAATTCAACTTTTTTAATAATTAACCTTATTTCATTTGCCATTAACTCAATTAATATATTTAGTTCGATTTTATATTACTTATTTTATTTTATTTTATTTGTGGTTCAATAAATATATTTTATTTTATTTAAATTAATTCGATTTTATATTATATTATTTTACTGAATTTAATTTATTTTATTTATTTTTTTTTAATAATAAGAAGCATTAGTACAAAAAGATTTCCATATCATTTTAGTCAAATAGTGTAAAGAATAAATAATTATTACATACATACTTTGAATTTTATTGAAATTTATTCATTTGGTTGTGTTCTTATTTAATTTTTTTATCATAAGTCTAAATTAAATTTATTATATTTCATTAATATTTCATTTAAGAATTTTCGATTTTATTTCATTTTAATTTAATTAATTTTATTTTATTGTATATAAATGACTATATCTTATTTTTTATTGCAAATATATGAAAATTTGTAAATTGATTCAATAAGTTCATTTTATTTTATTTATATTTATTTGATTTTTTTTTTATATTATTTTATTTACTTTAAGTACCAATTGAATTAATTTATTTTATTTTATTTTTTCTTACCATAAATATGTATATATGGATTTATTTTATTCTTAAATAAATCATTTTCTTTGTCATTTGATTTTTTATAACTTATTTTTTAATAAGATTTATAATAACTTTGTTATAAATAAATTTCGACCGAACATCGCTTCAGCGGTTACAAAGTGTTATATATGTAAATATTTAAATAAAGATTAAATTTTATTTTTTTTTTTTAATTATTTTTTTTTCATCTTATTTTACTTTACTTTATTTTATTTCATTTAATTTTACAGTAAATTAATTTATATTGTACTTAATTTTAGTGGCAATCATTTTGATTTATCCTAATTTTATTTATTTATTTAATCTTCTTTTATTTTATTTTAATTTTATTATTTAATTTTAATTTTTTTTGTTTATATTTTTTAATATAATCTAATTTATTATTTCTTATTTAATTTTTATTTTATATAATTCATTTATTTAATTTTATTTGACTTAAGTAATTATTTTGTTCTTATTTTATTTTCAATTATATTAATTTTTTCAAATTCTATTTGATTTAATTACCTAATATTTTATTACATAATATAATTTAATTTTTTATTATTATTTTAAATTAGCTTTATTTTATTGCATTTTCTTAAATTTTGTATAATTTATTTTGTTTAATTTTTAATATATTTAGTTTAACTTATTTTACTATTTGTTTAAATATTTTAAACATTGAATTATTCTTTGTATATATAACTACGTATACGCACATGTAATTATGTATGTTTATGTAATTGTATAATTTTATTCATGTAAATTTATTTATATACGCAATCAAGCCGGCACAACGTAAGCGATTCTTTTTTTAGCAATTTAATTGCCAAGGCTGCCTACGTCATTAGTCCCAAATGCCACACGCCAAATATTAGAGTAAAATAAACCCAGCATCACAAGTCAAACAATTGAAAGTAATTTCAAAATAATTACATGGTTTTTTCAACAAAAAAAATTAAAATAAAAATAATTTAAAAAATTAGTAATTAAAAATAATAATAAAAAAATTATAATTAAAAAGAAAAATAAATGAAAAAATAGTAATAAAAAATAATAATTGAAAAATAATAATAGAAAATATTAATTTAAAAATTTAGTAACAAAAAATAATAATCGAAAATATACCGCAATGAAAAGAAATAATAAAAAAAATTATAATTCAAAAAAAAAAAAAAATTAGTTAAAAAAAACAAAAAATTGTGATAATTAACAAAATAAAACTTATTATATTATAAATAAATTAAAAAGTAATAATAATTAAAACATATAGTCACGATAGAAACTTAATAACCATTCAAATATTGTAATTTAACTCTATTTATTCACATATGTATGTATGAATATATCAGTGAAGATGCTTGAACTATATTAGTATATTATGTATGCATATGTGCGTATGTATAAACATTAATTTCTATTAATAAACATGAAATTCAAAATTTGTTTTCCGTGATACAAAATTCATCTGTCCTCTATTATTTATTATTAGACGTGTGTCTGAATTATTTTTGTTTTATTTTTTTGAATTCTTTATTTTATATATATATTTTTTTATTTGTTTCATATTTATTTTCTTTTAAGTACCGGAATACGAGTGTGTCCGTAAGATACCGTAATGTACCTACATATATCGGGAGCTGCTAAGCAATATTAATATTTATAATTACTTTTTAAAAATTAACTAATTTTTGCACATATTCCAAAAAAGGTTTTAACTGAACGCGAATTCGAATAATAATATTATATTGGCATAAAACTTTTTCTTATTGTATTTTATTTTAATTTATTTTATTTTTAACTTCATTTTTATATATCATTTTGCAAAATTTTGAAAAAATTTTTATTTTATATTTTTTTATTTTTATTTTTTGAGTTTAATAGAATTTTTTTTTCATTAATTAATTATATTTTATTTTATTTTATTTAATTTTACTTCTTTATCTTATTTTATTATAATTAATAATCTTACTTTATTCTAATCAGATTTAAATTAATTTAATTTTATTGCATTTTTTAAATAAAATATATATTTTTTTTTCGGTATAAATTACTTTTGTTTCATTTAATTTGTTTAAGTGTGTGTAATGTGTATGAAGGATTAAGGTATCAGGTTCTGTTTCAGTTGTTTTCTTTCTTATCTCATTTTAATTTGCTTCATCTATTATTAATTTATTTTCCATTTATTATATTTTATTTTATTTCGTTTCTTTGTTTATTTTTTTTAAACTTATTAAAATTATTTCATTTTATTTTATTAAAATTAATTTATTTTTAACTTTTTCACTTATTTTCATTATTATTTTTCTTTTAATTATTAAAATGTTTTTATTTTATTTTCTAATGAAATTTTTATCTTACCCCAAAAACCACTGTTTTCGTTGCATACTTTTAAGCACCGGATGTGTTGTCCTTTCCTCACAATGCCAGCGTTGTATTTCCGCTGACATTTCACTACTCGCCTTGCATAAATGGTTTATTCGTTTGAAAAATATACTGAAAATGCGAAAGCTAAATTTTTAGGTTAAAAGAGTTTTTGCAATAAATTTACATTCATTACATATGTACTTACATACACTTTCCCACTCCACAGACATGGCGTACTCCGCGAGTGGATCAGCAAAATCGATCAGCTTGAAGGCGGCATGGATACATTCTCACAAGGCTACAAACACTATGGTCTACACTTTCAGCAAGACAACTCAGTCATTGCACGTGAATGGGCGCCGGGCGCACAACAAGTTTATCTCACTGGAGACTTTAGTAAGTAAACAAGTTTTGGAAATATTTTGGAAATAAATATACTTTAATTAATTAATTGAAATACTTTAATTTTCTGCTCTTTTCCACCGAAATTCATACAGATAACTGGCAATGGGAGGCGCACCCCTTCAAGAAACTTGACTTTGGCAAATGGGAATTACATTTGCCCGCCAATCCAGATGGCAGCGCACCCATCAGGCATCTGAGCGAAGTTAAAGTGATCATACGCAATCAGGCCGGTCACCTATTGGATCGTCTCTCACCTTGGGCGACATATGTGCGCCAACCGCCAAAAGAGGCCAATCAGGGCGTCAACTTTAAACAGTACGTATGGAATCCACCACCCACAGAGCGTTACCTTTGCAAGCATGCACGTCCAAAGCGCCCAAAATCGTTGCGCATCTATGAATGTCATGTGGGTATTGCCTCGCAGGAGCCACGCGTTGGTTCATATCAGAATTTCGCTGATAATATAATACCGCGCATCAAACGGCAAGGTTACAATGCCATACAGGTAATGGCTGTTATGGAGCATGCTTACTACGCTAGCTTCGGCTATCAGGTGACCAGTTTCTTTGCCGCCTCCAGTCGTTGTGGCACGCCCGAGGAGTTGAAACGTATGATCGATGTGGCGCATGAAAATGGCTTGTATGTGTTGTTGGATGTGGTGCATTCGCACGCGAGTAAGAATGTGCAGGATGGTTTGAATCAATTTGATGGCACCAACTCGTGTTTCTTCCATGATGGCGCACGTGGTGAGCACTCGTTGTGGGACAGTAGGCTCTTCAATTATATGGAGTATGAAGTTTTGCGCTTTTTACTGTCCAATTTACGTTGGTGGCACGATGAGTACTACTTTGATGGTTATCGGTGAGTGAGATGCGAGTTTTGGGGAAGGGAATTGAATACGATTTTATAATGTAATTTCGCAAATAATATGTATTTCTATTATGTGGCACACTGCAGCTTCGATGGCGTCACCTCCATGTTGTATCACTCGCGTGGCATCGGTGAAGGTTTCAGCGGCGATTACAATGAATATTTTGGCCTGAATGTGGACACGGATGCTTTGAACTATCTTGGTCTGGCCAATTATATGTTGCACATGCAGAATCCAGAGGTCATCACCATAGCAGAGGTAGGCATTGCAACACCCTTGATTTCTTTAATAAACGGATGAAATATATTTTCTCATTTTCGCACACCACAGGATGTCTCAGGTATGCCCACACTCTGTCGACCAGTCGACGAAGGCGGCATTGGCTTCGATTATCGTCTAGCTATGGCTATACCAGACAAGTGGATCGAATTGCTGAAAGAGTGCTCCGACGACGCTTGGAATATTGGCAATATTGTACACACGCTGACAAATCGCCGGTGGAAGGAGAACACAGTCGCCTATGCGGAATCTCACGATCAAGCTTTGGTGGGTGATAAAACGATTGCCTTCTGGCTGATGGACAAAGAGATGTACACACACATGTCTACACTCTCCGAACCGTCGCTGATCATTGATCGTGGCATTGCGCTGCATAAAATGATACGTTTGATTACACATGCGCTCGGCGGTGAGGCGTACCTGAATTTTATGGGCAATGAGTTCGGTCACCCTGAATGGTTGGACTTCCCACGTGTGGGTAATAATGATTCGTATCATTATGCACGTCGTCAGTGGAATTTAGTTGATGACCCTCTGTTAAAGTACAAATTTTTGAATGAATTCGATCGTGCTATGAATGAGTTGGAGGAGCGTTTCGGTTGGTTACATTCGGATCCGGCATATGTGAGCTGGAAGCATGAGGGTGATAAGATAATTGCCTTCGAACGCGCTGGCTTAGTGTTCGTTTTCAACTTCCATCCGACTCAGAGCTTCACAGGGTATCGTGTTGGGACCAATTGGGCGGGCACCTACCAAGCGGTGCTGAGTTCAGACGATGAGTTATTTGGTGGTCATAATCGCATCGATAAAAGCTGCAAGCATGTTACAAGACGTGAAGGATATGCGGGCAGGGAGAACTTCTTTGAGGTGAGTTAAGGGGAGAAGTGAAAAAACATAAATAGGAGAGTAAAATAAAATAAATAAAATAAAATGAAACCAAATAAATTAAATCAAAATAAAATAAAGAAAATTAAAATAAAACAACAAAATAATTAAAATAAAATAGAAAAAATTTTAGAACATTAAATTAAAATTATAATAAATTATAGTTAAGTTTAATTTAAATAAATAAAATCAATTCAATAAAATTCAATGAAAATAAAATTCAAATAAAATCCAATTAAAAAAAAAAAACAAATTGAAATAAATTAAACAAAATAAAAATTAAATTGAATTAAATTCAACTAAAATAAAATTGATAGAAATAAATTAGTTTAAATCAAAACAAAATAAAATAAATAAATTTAAAATAAAATTAAATTAAATTAAAATAAAAAAGAAAATTGAAATAAATTAAACAAAAACAAAATTAAAAAAATGGAAATGAAATAAATAAAATAATTTAATTTAAATTAAAATATAACTAAAAAATTCAAATCAATTAAATAAAATAAAATTAAACTAAACACAAATAAAATTAAATTAAATTGAAAAAATAAATTAAATTAAAACAAAATAAATTAAAGAAACTTAAAATAAAACAAAACAAAATAATATAAAATAAAATAGAAAAAATTTAAGAAAATCAAATTAATAAATTATTAATAGTTAAAAAGAAAATTGAAATGATTTATTTATGATTATTAATGAATTATAAAAAATGAAAATAAATTAAACAAAATAATTTATATAAAATTAATTCAAATTAAATTAAAATAAAATTAAAAAAATTGAAATCAATTTAAAAAAAAAAAAATTAAACTAAATAAAAATAAAATTAAATTAAATTGAAAAAATAAATTAAATTAAAACAAAATAACCATTAACAAAATTAACAACCATTAAGACATATATAATAAAAACTTAATAAAATAAAATAAGATACATAAAAATAGAAATTCAATAAAATTAATTAAATAAAAATAAACAAAAAAATTTAATTAAAATAAATTAAATAAAGTGAAGAAATAAAAAAGGAAATAAAACTCATATAAATTAAATAACAATAAAATGAAATAATAAATAAATTAACGAAATAAAAAATTTACATAAAATCAAATAAAATAAAAATAAAATTAATAAAAATAAAATTCAGTTAAACCAAAAAAAGAAACAAATAAGAAAAATAAGTTTTAAATTATACTTTTTTAATATTTAACTAAAATAAAAAAAGTAAAATAAATAAATCAATAATATAAATAAAACAAATAAAATAACAAGTAAAATTTAAAAATTGAGTAGAAATAAAATAAATTAAAATTAAGTAAAAAAAAAATTATTTAAATTAAACAAAATAAAAAATTAAGTAAAAAGTATGGTAATATTTAGTAAAATCAAAAAAATATATAAATAAAATATAGTTATTAAATTAAAACAAACAAAAAAGAACAATAAAAGATTGAATTGAAATGAAAAAATGCATAGATAAAATAGTAAAATACAGTAAAACAAAATAAAATTAAAAAAAAAATTAATCAAAATAAAAAATTTACTTAAAGTTATTAATAAAATATTACATTAAATAAAAAATATATAAACTTAAACTGAAACCAATAAAAATATAGAAACAATTAAAAAAATTATGAGAATTTCAATTGAGTTGATAAAATACGTAGATAAAAAACAGTAAAACAAAATGTAATAAAAAATATAATACTCTAAATAAATAATATAAAACAATATGAAAAAAATCAAGACAAAATAAAAAATTAAATAAATACAATAAATTAAATAAACAAAATATAATAAAATAATTGAATAAAATGAAATTAAAAAACTATGTATGTTGAATTTAGTTCAAAACTTAGCTAATTACATTAAATCTTTTTTAGGTCTACACACCCTCGCGTACAGCCGTTGTTTATGCGCATGTTAGCGACTAGGAGTTGATTGGATCAAGAGCTGCACACAATTTAGCCATTATACTCATATTATTTGATAGTTATAAAAAAATTTACTAATTGTTAAAAGAAAAAAAACACACCCACATACACTAATAAAGTGAAATGAACAAATATTTTCTATTAAAAAATAGCGTTTATACAAATACAGGCAAGCGAATTTGTTTTACTCAAAACCACAGAAGAATTAATAATATTACTCTCTAAAGAATTTATTAAAAAAAAAAACGATAAAATATTAGTATTTAATTTAAACTTTATTAAGGCGTTGGTAGAAGAATTTTGATAATTTACATTTCATTCACTTTAAACATACACTTTCTTAGGCTAAAAACGGACCATAAGAAATTCTCTAGAACGCCAACATTTATAAAAATTGATTATAGTTAAACTATAAGCTTACATACATATTAAATTTTAATACCTTCAGCGTTTTAACTTTGGTTTACAGACATATATAAGTGACTGATAAATTATAGAGGAAAAATATGGTTTAGCAAACTTTTGGCATGGAATGCGAAGCTTTCAGTAATAGTTATATTTCACTTAAAAAGTAATTTTTAATTTAAACTTATTTCCTAAAATGCGAGTTTGTGTATAATATTACTGTTATTTAATTTCAACACGCCCCTTTGCACTGGGTGCTATGTAACCTACATACGTGTATGTATACACTTAAAAAGCTTAGATAAATATTATCATAATTATACAGTTGACTGTATGTGTTGTTCGCTTATCAAACGCTTCATCATGTTCGCTGTTGATTTTTTTCTTTCAGCTTACAGCACTTCTTTGGACACCCTTTCGATAACATCGTAAGCATGCTTGATATCAGCATCGGTGAGTAAGCGATTCACAGTAACACGCATACTCTGACGTATCGGATGCTTTTCCAAATTATTCAGATAACGCGCCTCAATGACGGCAACACCAGCAGCAATGCACTATTTATGTTTATATAATTAGTATTAACAATTAAATAAATAAAAATTTATTAACACATACCTTATTGGCAATTTTAGTGAGCAATTCACACTCCTCCTCGGCATTAGCACGCTGTTCGGCAATGTACAAATGTTTAACTGGCGAAAGCTCGTTCGCACGCAGTGTCAATTTTGAGAATTTGCCAAAAACTTCCTGCACTTTACGCGCTATTTGCTGTAATTCTGCAAACATTTGCGGTTCACTTTCAAAACGATCCAATGCGGAGATAGCCGCTTGTGTTAGTAGTGGCGGTAGTGATGCAGAGAAACAATAACCCAGGCCAGACAAACGCTGATGTTCGACAATGAAGTGTGAACCAACACAGAAGCCGCCAATTGTAGCCAAAGAATTTTCCATGCCGGCCATGATGAGATCGACCTCAATGAGCTGTTATTAAAAAGTATTTAAAGAAAAAGTATTTACACATTTATATTTAGAAATGAAAAATGTACTTACTTCGACATTAAAATGTTCGGTTAGGCCATGACCAGTTTTGCCAAGCGTGCCAAAAGAAATGCTTTCATCCAAGAATAGACGCAACTTGTACTTAGCACGCAAAGCCACAAGCGCGGGTAGTGGACATATCTCGCCGGTATTTATGTAAATGCCCTCGGCAACAAGAAAACGACGTGTCTTCGCGGCCTTTTTGGGGTTCTAAAACAATATATATATAAAAAAAACAATGAAATATAAAATAAGTTGCGTTTTTTTTTTTCAAATCACATGCCTTTGCGTCACGCGCTTGTTGTTCAATAAGCAAACGCTCCAAATCAGCCATGTCATTATGTTTGTAATAATAAATTGTACTCCGCGATGCATCTAAACCTTTTTGTATTGAAAAATTGACCATTTCATCACTTAAATGTACAAAAATATTAAGCATTATTAAGTTTTCGCTCCGCATATCGTTGTACTTACGCAAATACGACATCACCACGCTTAGCATATGCCGGTATGGCGCTTGCTATGGTTGAGAAACCATATGAATAAACAACGGACTCTTCCATACCCATAAATTTGGCGAGACGATCTTCCAAATCCAAATGCACATCCATTGTGCCATAAAAGCCACGCGGTCCACAAGAGCCTACACCGTATTTTTTCAGAGTATTGCAAGCATCTTCTAATATTTTCTTATCCTCCAATAAGCCCAAGTAGTTGTGTGTTGCCAAATTTAGACAATCATTACCATCGACCACAACTCGTTTCCCAACTTTCGATTGCACTAAATGCGTTTTCAAAAGCGGATGATTTGGATTGGTGTTAGCAACAAGTGGTTCTGGCTCATAATTGGCAATTATCGCTTCTTCCTCCTCTCTACTAAAGCGTTTGCCGCGTCCATTCCGTTTGACGAATAACAACCATATAACCGAGAGTAAGAGGAAACCCTCCAAAACAATCACATAAAGAGGAGTCTGTAATCATATGTTCAATTTTTAATTTCTTTTTCAATAAATAAAATATCAGCCATTTACTTACATTTTGGAAAATACGCTCGATTTCATTAAACAAATAGGGTATAGCCACCATATTGCCGTCGATCTACTGTGCTGAATAATTGTAGAAATTATGTTAAAAATCAATTATTCATAAATGGTTACACGTGAATCAATTCCAATCAGCCAATCAGCTATTTCTAATTAATTCACTGCATGCGTCATGCAGTGCCTACTAAAAATGGTAACTGTGATAAGATTACTATTTTTCTCCCTAATTTTATTTAACTTTTTAACCGGAAACCTCATTAAAGGGAGACCATAATAAGGTTACCCGCCTACATACGACTGAATACAGACACAAACCCATGCTAATTTCATTATTTCGAGCACATATGTAAACAAATTTTACCTTTTCAATTTTAATTAATCACAATTTAAATATATTTAAGAAAAATTAAAGAAAATATGCATACAAGGTTAAAAAAAGAGACAATTTTATACCGCAATTCAATGCGAAATGTCAAATGTCATCTGACTACACCTTCAAAACGTTGCCATATTGATGTTAAGGCATGCCACCCTGTAGGAAAACACAGTTGCTTATACGCGTGCCTACGCAGACAAAGTTTGTTCCTTTGTTTTTTGTTCTAGAAGCACTGGTAAGTTTGAAGCAGATTTTCTCCAAATCCGTAAGAACGATTAAAACTTAGATTTTCTTCATGAAAGATCTACAAAAATTTCCAAAAAAGAACTATAAATATTTTAATAGCCCAAAATGATCCGGAAATAAGAAAATCGATAGCATTAGCTTCTCGTCCCTAGTATATGGGCGCAGGAAACCTCCGGAAGTACTGAAAAGTCATAAATTCACTTAGGCGTCCCTTGAGCAGGTTAATGAGTATTTACCTCAATAAAAATGGAGTTTCATAAGATTATGAGTTTGGTACGCCGTAGAAGGATACTTCTGCGATTATAATCAAATAAATACCGATTGGGTGCAAAAAGTGAAGGGTTTAGTTTTCTCAATGGATCTTTCTCTTATATTGCTACCTGCAAACTGGCATTGTATGACAGGCATTCACATCGTTTGCTAGTGAGTTTTTATCCGATTTTGTCACCATCCAAGTCTAGTGCGGAAAACATGACTGACTCTCATTTCCGTAAAGTTTTTGAAACCGTTACGAAAAGGTATTACAACGATTTTCACTAGACAACCTTAATACTTTCCCAAATCCTTCGAGTTTTAGTATTAGACAGTTATAAATAAAAGTACCAATAATAGTTGGTTTAGCTTCTTTATTGTAAGCCTCTACTTCTATCTTGACGTACAGTTAATTATGCAACTCTCTGCACGGTTTATTCTCCCATAAAATCAGGCTTTACTCTGCTTTACTCGATAACGATGTTGTAACTCCCGAGTTCAAAACTTTACTGAACACGCATGAGCTTAACTCCTTTTTTGCATAAATCAACTGATGCCCTTTCTGTTCCAGTGAAGAAATAATTCTATAATAACGCGCTTATTTCTCTTTATTAATTTTTCATATATCACCCATAAGAGGCGATATTCCCAAAATATCTATCGAAATTTATTTCCTTTGCTATCAAAGAGCAAATTCACATATGACGAAATATGGCAACCATTACCTATGTGTATCTCCATACATTTCTGTGTTTGATAAGCTGCTTGTATATATTGGAGCATATACATATGTGCATATATATCGGTAGATTGCGGGGGGGGTTCTCATTTGATAATATTGCCCCACTACGGTGTTGATTGATGTTGTCCTGAGATTTAATTGTGTACTTTGAACGTTGGCCGTATGATTTTATAAGCGCACAAGTATCAGATATGTTGCAGATATCAAAGAACGTATATTTAATATACGTTCTTTGCAGATATATACATATGTATATATGAAAAAATTTTACTTTCTGCAAGCTTTTTCTCTCAAGTACATTATTAGAATTTTTAAAATTGAAACTTTTGCCACTAATTTAAATTGTTGTTGCTTATGTTTTCATCATTTAACTCCGCAACTCTGGTTATGATGATTTTTTGTTACACCTCTCCACCCCTTCCAGATGTACTTGTTTACGTTTTTTCTCATATTTCTGCTATCATTGACGTACAATTTGTATATGTACATATGTGTGTATTTGGATGTATCTCTCTGTCAAGTGCGCACTTTGGACTCTTCTTTTGTTGACTTCTCTATTCAGCTGGTCAATTTTCGCATTCATAGACTGAACGCCCTGTAAAGTAGTTGCTAAAAAATAATACTGATTGATATCAAATAAATTGCAGAAGTTATAATGATTAATACAGGGAAATTAGCAGGACGCACTCTTTTCATAACCGGTAAGAATTTGGTATTAAGTAAATGTAAAATTAAAAATCTAAATAAAAGTGGGTCAACTTTCTTTTTGTCAGGTGCTTCACGAGGTATTGGTAAAGCTATTGCATTGAAAGCAGCACGCGATGGTGCAAATATTGTAGTTGCTGCCAAAACTACCACACCACATCCAAAACTACCAGGTACGATTTATACGGCGGCTGAAGAAATAGAGAAGGCCGGTGGTCGTGCGCATCCCTGTGTTGTCGATGTACGAGATGAGCAACAAGTGCGTTCAGCTGTTGAGGAGGCTGTAGCGTTATTCGGTGGTATTGATATATTGATAAATAATGCTTCAGCCATATCGCTAACCAACACGCTAGACACGGATATGAAGCGTTATGATCTTATGCATCAAATTAACACACGTGGCACATTCCTCGTATCGAAGGAGTGTCTGCCATATCTAAAAAAGAGTAATCATGCGCATATTTTGAATATTTCGCCACCTTTGAATTTGAATCCCATATGGTTTGCCCCACACGTCGCCTATACAATGGCCAAATATGGCATGTCAATGTGTGTTTTGGGTATGGCAGAAGAGTTTCGTTCAGCGAAGGTCGCAGTGAATGCTTTGTGGCCACGCACTGCCATACACACGGCTGCTATTGAAATGTTATCAGGACCTGATAGTTCAAATGTATCGCGTAAAGTAGATATAATGGCTGATGCTGCATATGCAGTTCTGGTGCGTGAGCCTACTCAGTGCACGGGACGTTTCCTCATCGATGATGAAGTGCTCACCGAGTCTGGCATAACTGATTTGAAGCAATATGCTTGTAATCCAGAGTATGCTGATAAATTAATGCCTGATTTCTTCTTGGATATCCCAGAAAGCGAACTTAATGCCATCAAGGAAGGCATGCAGCAAACAAAAGCCGCTCGTGTAGCCGCTGGTCAGATACCTGCCTTATTTGTAAAAATTGAAACATTAATTTCACCTGAATTAGTACAAAAAACGCAAGCAGTTTTTCAATTTAACATCGAAGGTGAAGAAAAGGGTACATGGCATTTAGATTTGAAGAATGGATCTGGTTCATGTGGCAATGGTGAACCAAAGGTCGCGCCTGATGCAACGCTGACCATGAAGGCGAATAACTTTCATGATATGTTCTCAGGAAAATTGAAGGCTGCAAATGCGTTTATGACCGGTAAATTGAAAATTTCTGGCGACCTGAGCAAGGCAATGAAACTGGAAAAGCTAATGAGTTCATTGAAATCGAAATTATAAGATTTAGTAGTGTATGTAAGATTAGATAATTAGTAATAAGTCGCATTTTTTGTATTTGATATCTATGGTTATAAATATAGAAAATACCTACGATTTTGAAAAAATGTTTTGGTTTTAATAATAATTTAAGTGCATTCTAGCGCGAGAACGAAATTCGTTTTTAAACGTAACAAAGAACGTATATGAAAACGTTCTTTGAACGTAATAATGGTGTTATGCAAGCTTGCGGTTGAGAACGTAAGTGCAAAGAACGTTCATTTTCCTTTAGCAACATGTATTGCAGAAATATGTTCTTTTAACATTTGGCAATCCTATTTCAACTTGCTTCTTTTGCCTATAACAACCGTACATAAACATTTGTTATTGCCGCTCGAAGTATTATTATCTACTTGAAAGCGCTGAGTTCGCACATATTCAATTAAAATTGGTTGAAATTCAAAAAAAATGGAGGACAGTACTATGCCGAGCAGTTGCAACTTTTTAAAAGATCCACTTTCAATAGGGTAAGTTTGGTTAAATATATAAAATAAACATTAACTTTTATATATTTGTTGCAGCGATCTAATTGGCCCTGGCACAACATTTGAGATAAACACGAATTTTGATGAGGGCTTCAGTAATGATATATTCGACGAATTAAATTTGGGTTCCGACGAGGAGGATGATGAAAAGACCTCTATAGATCGTTCTACTTTGGTTTCGCCATGGACAAAAACATTTGATGAGCTACGCAAACAAATGGTTGAAGTAAATGAGCACATTTACAAAAAAATAACACAACCAGGCCTACCTGAAGAGGGTGAAGTACCGTTAAACGCGCGTGTTTGCATACGCTACAATGCATATTGGGAGGGTGAAGGTGCACCATTTGATTCATCATTTTTACGTGGCTCTTCATATCATTTCTACACCGGACGCAATGAGGTGATCGAAGGTTTAGAGGCGGCAGTGCGTACAATGTATCGCGGCGAACAAGCACAATTCGTCATATCATATCATTTACTATTCCGTGAATTTGGCTGCCCACCGCGTATTAAACCACGCGCAGATGGTCTATTTATTATAGAGTTGGTGTCATTTAATCTCGTTGGCGATTTGGATGCAGATCAGAAACTCACAGAAGAAGAACGTGGCAAATATGCGACTGTAATTGACAAAATACGTGAAGTGCATTTGAAAGGCTTGGATTTCTTCGGACAGAGTTTATATAAGAATGCATGTCGTGCTTTTGAAAAGGCAGTAAGCATGCTAAACAGTTGTCATTTGGCCAACGAGCAGGAGGAGAAAGAGCAAGCTGCATTTTTGTTAAAATTATACACGAATTTGGCTGTTTGCTATAATAAAACCAATACACCGGCTAAAGCGTGCATCATGTGTAAGGAAATACGACAACTAACGAATAATAAGCCATCCTGTAAGGCGTTATTTCAAGAAGGACGTGCCCTACTCTTATTGGGTGAGCACAAATTCAATATTAAACATATAATTATATAAATATATTTTCTCGCTACATTTATAGGAGAATATGAGCGCGCACGAACCCTTTTGATACGCGCACAAAATATGGAACCACAAAATGATGATATTAGCAAAGAGATGAAACTGCTGGAGGAACGTTATGCGCGTTACAAAGCCAACGAGCGTAGCATTTGGACCAAAGCTATGGGCATTGTAAAGAAGAAAGAAGGCGACAAGTCAGCAAACGCCAATGAGGCGCAAAATATTTTCGAGCAAGAAATGGCCGAGTTGATGGAGAATTTTAAGCATAATTTGGATTTGAATAACTTCAATTTGCCACCGGGTCTAACCAAAGCCGAAATATGCACAGTGGATGAGCTTGCCAAGAAAATGGAGTTGAAACTAACACTGTCACCGCTTGATAATGCCACCTATACGCTAAGTAAGGTTATAAAGGCAACATAAATGCCAATGTAGCAAGCTAAAGCGTTTCGAATATTATCTGACTATTAAATACGTATACTCGTATATATATATATATATATATATACAATATATAAAAGTTTTTAGTATCTAAAAGAGTGTCACTTATAAATACCAGACTTTCCATATGATTTTAACTTGTTATGCTCTCAGAAATATTACTTTTAGACACAATTCGAAAATGTAAATCGGTTTCTGTCGAATTTAAATAAGAATTGCTCAGGAATAAATCGTATTTAATATGTATGTACATAAAAATTATTGTAAAACATGTATGTATGAATGTAAATATTACCAAAAAGCTCCACAATAAACGTTGAAGTAAAGATAAAAAATTTGTTTGTTTTTTAATTTTTGCCGAAAGTGAAAAATAATACATTACAACAACAGGATATGGTGTAGTATTATTAACTGCTTACTAGTGTTTTCACTACGCCTATGCATCAAGTTTTTTTGTCGACTATTCTTTCGAAAGAATTTCTGTTATTTTAGACAAGAAATTTTTTAATAAAAAAAACACTTTCATTTTATTTTTAGTTAAAACGCATAAATATATTTCATTCATTATGTTATTGTAATCATAAATAATACTAATACGCTTTCTTAATATTATATTATACATTTATTATCTATATGTATATATAAGTCATTTTTGGTTTTTATTTTTTTTTTTGTATTAGATTTTAATATTGCAACAGAATTTCACAATTTTTGTCAACTTAAATAATTATCTACATATGTTTGCATGTAGGTATGTATGCAGGAATATATGCATTAATAAGTATTTGTGTACACAAGCCTTTGTTTTTTTTATATCTATGTATGTATGTATGTATGTGTATATGTATGCCTGCCCCAAACGAAACTTAGTTAAGTTTTTGATTTTCTTTGAATTTGAGATTTTCTTTATTGGGAAACATAAAACGTGTAGACGACATGAATGTATGTATTTATGTATGTAATAGTTTAATTAATTAATCTTGTGCTTTAATTATTAAATTTTAACTCATTTCTACGCATTTATTTGCTTTAGTTTTTAAAATAATTATTCCTCCTTTTTTTACGCATATACATACATACATATATCTACATATATGTGCACATAAATATGCACATAATTGCTTAATTTAATTTTCTGTGTTGTGCACATACACGTATTCACATAAATTTATTTATGCCATACATTTTACAGTTATACATATGCTCGTAATTTGTTTTGAATTTATATTATTAAATTTCATTTTCCATAATCAACTACATATACATAAATATAATTTTGATTAGACACACATTTAATGTTTTTTTTTTCCTCCAATTTCGTTTCGTTTTTCTTTGCTTTGCTAATTTTTGTAATTTTTTATAAAATTTTTTTGCTATAATTCTTTTATATACTTTTTTCTAAACATTTTTTTTTTTTTAATTTCCTGGTTCGCTTTTCGTTTATAAATGAAGATCCACAAATTTTTGCTTTCATTTTGAAAAAGTTTTCTTCTTGCATAACTTAACTTGCACAATTTGTTTTTAACTGAACGAAAGGAAATTATATACATATATATATAATATAATATATTTTTTTTTTATATATATAAAAACTATTTAACTTTGTTATAAATTGCTTACGTTTTGAGCATTTAGGTAATTTAATAATTTGCATTTTCTTCAATATATATATATATATATTTTTTTTTTTTAACTTAGATTCGGGTTACATATAAATAGTTAATATACGTATAAACATAATTTATTTAAGGGAACTCGTAGCTGTGATGCATAGTAATTATTTATATATTTAATTTCTTTATATTATAATTATTATTTTACTTTTACTACTATTATTTTTCATTACTATTAAATTAATTTTACTACTATTTTTTATTTATTATTATTAGTATTTTTAATATTATTTTCATTATTTTATTTCTTTATTTTTATTATTATTATTTTTTGTTAATATTAATTTTTATTTGTTACTATTTTTTTTCTTTTTTATTACTATTATTATTTATTATTGTATTATTATTATTATTTTATTTAATTATTACAATAATTTAATCATTTTTATTTTCTATTACTATTATTACATATAATATTATTATTACTGTTGTTTCTTATTATTATGTTATTAATATTCATTTTATATTTTTTATATTTTTTAGTATCATTATTATTATTTTAATTAACTGTTACTATTATTTTTATTACTATTATAATTTTTTTTGTTATTATTCTAATTAATAGTTTTTATTATTTTATTATAATTATTACTATGTTTTTTTACTATTAAAATAATTACTGTTATTATTGTTGTTGTATGCTTATTATTTTGTTCTTGTTATTATTTCATTATTATTGTGATTTAAATATTATAGCTTTTTATTATTATATTATTACTATTTTCTCTTTATATTTTTTATATTTAATTTAGTATTTTTATTTATATTTTTATTTGTTATTGTTTTAATTTTTATTACTATTATTACAGTTGTTTTTATTTTAATTTTAATTAGTACTGTTTTTATTATTTTATTAAATTTATTATTTTTCTTATTACTATATGATTATTATTTTATCTAATTTTAACTGTTATATTTTTTTGAAATCGCTATTATTATAATAATTATTATTGTTTTAATTATTATAATATTATTATATTGTTAAAATTTAATTTTCATTTTATTAATTTTTTTATTTTTATTTATTAATATTTTTATTTTTATTACTGCTATTTTTTATTTTTATTAATATTAATATAATAATTGTTATTGATCTGAATATTTTTTCTATTGTTGTGTTTTTATAATGTTATTTTATTTTAATAGTATTATTAAAATATTATTAATTTTTACTTTTCATTTAATTTTTAACAGTTTTATTGTTATTATTTTATAATAATATTATACATATTTATTTAATAAAATTATCATTATTATTTATAAAAATTATTATTATTTTATTTTATTATTACTATTATTTTTGTTTTTATTATTATTAGTATAATTATTATTATTGTTCTTCTTATTTTATTATTGACGTGTTTTTATTATTATTTTGTTATTTTTATTTTTACTATTATTATTTTTATTAATATATTATTATTTACTTTTTATGTTATTTTTTACAATTTTCTCATTATTTTTTTATAATAATGCTATATATATTTATTTTATTTAATTTCTTGTTATTTTTATTTTTATTATTTTATTCCATTTTTATTATAACTATTTATAATATTATTTCCTTAATATGTTTATTGTTTTGTGCTTTTTATTACTATTTTATATATATTTTTTTAATTAGCTTTTGTCAATTAAACAATATTTTTTATGTTAGATTAAAATATTATTTTGGAAAAATTTAGTTCTTCATTACTGAATTTCAATTCTAATAGATTTTATTAAATTAATAATTTGATTTTGAAAAAGATAATAAAAATATAACAAAAAAAAAAAGGAAAAAATAAATTAATACTGAAACAACTCAAAAAAAAAAAGAAAAAAACGGCGGCATGTTAAAATATTGCTACCCTACTAAAAATGTTATTTAATATTTTTAAATCCTTTATTTTTTCTATGTTTATTTTTTTATATTAATTTTGACTTGTATCAATGCATTTTCACTCATAATGTCTCCAGTATTTATATTTTTTATTTTAATTTAATTTCATTTTTACTAAAAAGTTAACGCTTCGACCATACATATGTACACATATATATATATTTTTTTTTTTTGAAATTGACGCATATTATATCGACTTATTTCTATATATTAATTTTTTTAATTAATTTTTCTTATAGTTTTATTGTTTTTTAATATATATTACTACCATTTATTCAAAAAACAAGGCATACATATATATTTGTGTATTTTTTATTTCTTATTTTGTTGCTATTTATGACTAATTCATTGTTTTAAAACTACAATTTTAACTAACATACATTTTTCAACAGCCATTTATAGTGTGGTTTTGTAATTATGATATTTTAAATTAATATTTATTTCTTATACTGGTTTTGTAACTTCCATTATTTTCTTCATAAATTAATTAAAAATTGAATTTAACAAATTGGAAAAATATTATTTGAATGTGAAAGAAACCCGGAAGACATTAGTTAATTTGGAAGATTATTTTAATAAAAAATAATAAAAAATATAAACAAGAGATAGAATAGAATAAAAATTAAATAAATGAAATAAAATAGGCAAAACAATATAAAATAAACAAACCAAATAAAATAAAATAAAAATAAAGTAAAACGAAACAAAATGAAATAAGGTAAAATACATTAAATTTAAATGAAATAGTATAATACAAAATAAAATTAAAATATTAAAATAAAAAAATAAAATAAAAAAAATAAAATAAAATAAAATAAAATAAAATGATATGAGATAAAATAAANATTAAATGAAATAAAATAAAATAAAGCAACAACATAAAATAAAATGGTATTAAAAAAATTTAAATTAAATAAAATAAAAAATAATTATTATAAAACGAAAACAGGAAGAAGCGTTTTGGAGTTGTTTGTTCGAGATTTTAATTAACTACTTTAGTTTATCTAATTTTACGTTTTTTGATATATGTATATGTATTTATGTAACTACTTACTAGCACAACATTTAGGTACACAATTTCAACAGCAATTGGTTTTTATTTAGTGTGTGTTGAATTTTTTTTTTTTTGATTTCTTACTCCAAATTTTGGGTGTCACTCGGTGATCTACTAACAATAACAACAAGAACATATACAACACGTTATCCACAACAAACAAGTTATACATAACAGCAACAATATGGCATATTGAAATAATATTATTTCCGATTTGATGGCTAACATTTGAAGAATTTCGAGTTTGTATATAAAAATTGCTTTTGAAGAGTTTAGTATTCTCACGAGTTTTACTACATAAATACATACCAACGTTTTTCTTAAATTTTTCAAATCAAATATCACAATTTGGCTTGGCAAATATTTGATTTTATTTATGTTTTTCATATTAAAACCAAATAATTTCGTTTTTTCTTATGAAATTATTATGAATAGTTTTTTGTTTTTAAAATTTCACATTCTCTGGCTTGAGCCATACACACATAACGCAAATGTTTGGTTTATTTTACTAAATAGTTCTTCATTTTATTTTTTTATTTAATTTTTTCTAATTTTAGTATTTTTTTTTTTGTCACTAGTGTTGTTTGTATACAAACTAACTACAGGTACAGCTACATACAGTATACTATCATATATATTTTGTTATTTTATATAAATATGTATAGTTTTACAATTAAAACACATATAAACGTATATAAATAACCTACTTTACTATATTTCTGCTAG